CTTAGTGCTACCTCACTGAAATGCTATGACGAAGGCAGCCAGCCACCTAGTCACATTATACTGACAACGGATTAACCAGTTGTCTCCATTGTCCGAAATAAAGAACTTTTAGCAGGGAATATCAACTCCCACCTTAAGGATTTTGATTGTCCTGCAATAGGAACAGAACCTATTGCCTTCCTCACCAGGACGAACGTTCGGAGGTCGTCATTCATGAAACCGTTATGATGCTCAAGAGCATGGATACCGTACTCAAGCCGAATTTCTTCTTCTTGATATAAATTAATACAAAAAAACAAATTGTCAATGTTTTGGGAAAACATTGAAGAGACTTTAGGATGAATGCTGTTTTAAATGTTAACATTTTACTTGTTTGATGGTTTGACATGATTTAAGAGAGTTACAAGAAAGTTGGTTTGAGCAAAGAAGCCATGCTTGAGCATGAGAACGGTTTCATGAATACGTTAAAGTGTTAAAAATAATTTCTAAAATACATTTTCGAAAATCTTGAATTTATGTGTATATCTTATATGTATAATAAGCTTCAAATTCCGTTTGACTATCCAATTTTAAAGGTAGGGTCAACGCCTATGGAGATTTAACATTAGCGTCGGCCCCCGCTTGGAATTTCAAAACAATGTAAATACAAAAAGGTATAGGTATAGGAAGCTTAAATCAGGAACAGTTATTTTCAGAATTCATTTTATGACAAATGGTACCTCAGTTGACTTACACCTGTGTGGGTGTTAAAGGTGTGGTAATACAATTCCTCCTAGTCATTCAAATGGCCCAATTAAAACTATATCATCATCGTGTGTAATATATTCCAACTGTTATTTTGATACCAAATATTACACTATTTCAAGAAAAAAATGGTCTCTTTTTTGACTCGTTAATTTACATAGTTCTAAAACCAGTATAATTTTCATACTTGCTTGAAAGTTGGCTACTTATAATAACATTCAAAATTAGGAATTTCAAAAAAATTGACAACCGGTAAATTTATCATATAACACATTGATTCAAAGAAAAAGAAAAACATAGCTTTCTTTCCACTTTCCTTTAAGTTGTGTTTCTTCATGACCAAAGGTCATTGGGTCTTGATATTTAGCAAGTAGGTTGTGCATATGAATGGATTTAAGTTTTGTAAACATTGATGACTTTGACCTTCGTTCAAGGTCACAAAATCAAATTTGCTAGAATAAAATGTTTGTATGGGGAGTCAGACAAGGATATCTTTCCTTGCTTTATTTGTTTAGAGTTAACCATATAAAATCATGTAATATTCCTTCATATTTTGATTAGTGAATGGGCAATAGGCAAATTAAATAATAACTAGAACTGTAAGCCAAAGGTTAGCTAATACCACCCGCTCCTATATAAACCAGAACTTGAGCAAAGGGCTAACTAAGACAAAGCATTGTAAAGCAATCCATAGTCACCCATCGGTAATTATTTAAGTATATAGGTCACTGACATGCTTCCTGTACTCCCTCCCAATGCCAAACATTCTTACATACCAAATTTTGTTAGTCCAGATGAACCGGTTTTGCTGAAATCGTCCTAGTAGTTACGAAAGAGTTGTCAAGACAAAGATTTTTAACAAAGGGCCATAACTCCTTCAAAATGGTCTAAATGAAAGAATACCACCCTGACGCACGACATCAGGGGGTAATTACCATATCTGTAAATTTTCATTGAAATCGGCCCTGTAGTTTATGAGGCAGACAGAGGTTTTTTTCAACAAAGGGTCTTAACTCCTCTTAAAGGATCGGAATGAAAACGTACAACTTGGATGCACAATGTCAGGGGACAGTTACCATATCTATAAACTTCCGTTGAAATTGGCGCCAATAGTTTTGGAGGAGTTGTCTGGACAAGTTTTTTTCAACAAATGGTCATTTCTCCGTAAAAAAAGGGGTCAGATTGAAAATACAATACCTGTATGCACAACACCAGATAGTAGTTATCATATCTAAAAACTTTCGTTGCAATTGACCCCTTGGTGTTGGAGGGCATGTCCGGACAAGGATTTTTCAACAAAGGGACAAAACTTTGTAAAACAAGGGTCAGAGTGAAAAAAGTAATACCTGCATGCAACACTTCAGGTGGTAGTTATCATATCTGGGATTTTTTTGTTGAAATTGGTCCATTACTTTAGAAGGAGTTGTCCGGACAAACCTTTTCTACGGATGGACAGACGGACAGACAAGCGGATTCGTGTATACCACACTAACTTCGTTGCGGGGAGTATAATTAAGTGTATAATAGTTTTACTATTAAGATGATGTTATTATTTTTATATTATTGCATATCGTTGTCTATAACACTATCTTAACCTTAAGTAGTTCTCCAGAGGAACGATTACTTTGGCAGAATACATATTCATTAGTTATTACTGTAATACATAACTTTCAAACAAACATCAAATAATTAAAACATGCGTAATATAATAAAGTATTTTGGTATAATACAAAAACAGAAAATGAATCGGTATTTTTGAAGATATTTGAATATTAGGCTTATAAGTCTAATGTCTTGATGGCTTTTACTAATTGGCTTTTCTAAAACCCCTATATGAAGTAAACATATGTACATATAAAAATAATAATACAGTTGGTAAAGTACTAACCCATAACCGCAGTGTCTTACCATGTAGGCTCGGAACACTTGATAATCATACTTTAAATGGTCGGGATGCTCAATTCTAGATTCCTATAGTGGAGCAAATTAAGGTCTGATAAACTGATTAAATGGTCAGTTGGATATTTATCTGTAAATGAGAAAAAGAATTATTCTGATATGTTTTTTATCCTTCAATGTAAAAGATATGCTATGAGAGTGGTTTCTGATTCGACTTCACTGGATCTGAAGGTTTACATATTTAAAGCTTTCGTCTAATACCACTCCCCCAGAACAGCAGTATTACCTATTCAAATGTATCATCTATAATTCAGTGCAATAAAAAAAAGATATGCAAATATTGAAGTCTGAAGTCGCCTGGGTCATATAAACTACAGGCATTCACTGCTGGTTTGAGGGAGATCGGGTAAGGAAACTCATTTTTGTTTGTTTACATACATAATATTTTCCCCATTTGGTTACCCAACAATCAGTTTACACGGAATTTTGAAATCCCTAAAGGTTAATACAAGTTTATATCATAATATAATGAGGTCTTTGCGAGTATTAAATAGTTTTATATTCGCTTACTGGTTGTTACTTTGAACATGGAATTGTCACACACGTGTGGCACGAAAAATCATGTTCAATCATTTTAGATTTGGCCAGCACCTCTGCCAAATAAAGGCTCCGACACAATATTGATCCATCGATGTGGTATTGAATTTGAGGTGAAAAAACGAGAGTAATTATACATGTCTAAGAGGTTTTATCAAAGAATTGGTTGGTTTTGCCACACTTTCGAGTGATGACATCCGAGAGAGTTATTCACGGTCCTTCGTCCTATTTTATGATTGAAGACTACAGGTAAGTACTTTTTAAGTAGTTCTTGATTTAGGCCTCCTCCGTACCAGCTCCAAATATATAACGCGGTTATAAGTTGCAGCAGGTTATTATTGTTTCCATGAGGATTTAGTCATCGCAAGTAATCCCAAGATTTCTGCCAGTTGTTACCTGTTTGTATTCTTGGTATCCCAACATAATACTGCAGATCGTGCGGTGGGGCTTCATGCTGTGTCAACTTCATGTAACCTCATCGCTCGGTCCTCTCTAGCCCGAGATTTTTCTGGCCCTGACACCAGACTTAAGACATTTTGACAAATAGATGTCTGGTGCAATCTATCTGTCAAAATGTCTTAAGTCTAGTGTAAGGGCCAGAGGAAACTCGGGCTAGGTCCTCTCCTTCCGAATGTCCTTTTTATTTGCATTGGGATGTATGGAGGGAGTGTACGCCTTTCGTCAGTGAAGGACTGCTTTGTTTACCGATTTATTCTTCTTTCTGCACACGCGAAATTGTTGAGATTGCCCGTCGGATATTGTACATAGATTCGTATCCCCCTCCCCCAACCAAAGCAATGTCATTCGGATATCTTTTTCAATCGTTTTGAAAACCGGATGATGTGTTATTATTTTTTCCCTCCAAAAATACAAACTATATATCTACGTGTATATATGTAAGCAAGAATGAGCGAGACCAGACAATCCATAATTCGTCCGTAGAATGCCAACTCAATTTGGGATATAATTTCATAATAAATATCCCAAATTTATTTGGTATGCGTGGCATCCTTGAACTCAAACCAATGATACTTCTGTTCAATCGTGTCTCTTCATATTCTCCCCACAACAGCATAAGACCACTTTGGCCATGCGTATGTTCGCGAATAGGGAATTCCAAAATGCAACAGTAAAACATGGGTCCACATTAAGACCCCAAAAAATATTAATATTATTTCAACACTCGTGACTCATTCTATATCATTTCAATAGTAAGTATCATTGTTTGATGCTTACAGTGTTCGTCTTTATTAATCAACAATGTTCCATAATGGTTAGAAAGACCTATTACATTAGAAATACTCAAGTTTCTATGAGTCTGCAGGAAACCTGTATCGATGTACTACATACGTCATAACGTGACTACATCCGTATAAAACTTGAATAAAAAACACAAGTCAAACTGCTATCAATATATTAGTTTTTGCTTTATTAAAATTTAAACCAAAATGTTCCCATATAGGTTTTAACCTATATATTTACAAAGATAACCTAACCAAACAAGAAAAAAACAGGGTTTTTATATAACAACAATACATGAAGCCCTATGTGTACGTGTATCAAAAAGTTACATAGTAATACACATGTAACAAAAGGCCCAAAAACAACAACACATCGACTGGTGTGTTACTAATTCGATGATAAACGTAACATTATTCCGTCTTTGCGTATTGCAGAGTAATCTTCTGATGAGAGCACATATTGATTGTTACGTCATATGTTTTTGAGAGTAACGTCATCAATTTTTGAGAAAACGACGTAATTTTCTCACACAAACAAATGACGTAACAATCAATACCTGCTCTCAAGAGAAGATAACTCTGCAATACGCTAAGACGGAATATGACTTGCCATTGAGTTGATAATTACTAACCAGATGTTAACACGGTAATGGGAAAAATACTTTTTTATTTTGAATGTAAATGATTTAGTGAGATTTACATTTTATCGTCTTGGAGAAATATTAACTTTCCTATGATAAACATTGCATTATAGTTATAGCCATTAACTTGATAATTACTTATTAAAAAATAACATCGTAATGGGAGAACTACATGTACTTACCCCAAGATACTTACCATTGTAACATTATCTAATAACTGATCACTCACATGATTAATACTTATCTTAAGATAATAAACATTGTAACATTATTTTACTGATCGCTCACAGGAGAAATGATTACGTGTACCTGATGATAAACTTTGTAACATTATCACAGTATAATTACTTATTTGATGATAAACATTGTGACATTATTATACTGATCGCTCACAGAAGATTTACTTATCTTATGATACTAATCATTGTCAAATTATCTTACTGATCATTCGCAGTAGGATCTGTACCTGGTGATAAACACTAACACTATCTAACTAACATGAGATCTAACTTGATAAAACACTCCTCAGAAAAAGATATGAAATTGACATCCTATCCTTTCCACCAGATGATTTATTTGAATTAAATCCCGTCATAAAGACAAACTCTCAGAAAATACTACTTGTCTCATCGGCTGACTTAGGAATATGTAGCCATATCATTTTTTTAAAATCTATCACCTTCTATAGGAGATCCCATCCCTGTACACTTGTTCAACCTTCAGTATGTTGGGGACGCCCTTTTCATATCTCAACGTCGTTACTAGGGGATTACTTGTTATTTCACCCGCACACATGACGGTGCTAAAATACATTTAAATGATAAGATCTAAAACAGCTAAACTATGAATGAATAAATCACTAGAAATCATTAATTAGTTGATTACTGACCTTAAACTTCAGTCTCTGTGATTGCATGCTATATATAAAAAATGTCAAAATTCGACAAATTCCTGCAAACCACATTACTCATAAAATACTTTTATTACATTTTTCTGTTGAGGATTGGCATATGCACATAACAAAAAAAAAATCAATGGTTACAATGAATTGATAATGAAATGTCAAATCACACGTTCGATTACAATCTATTTCGATAGATTGAAAAATGGTGGACAATGACCAGCGTTATTATTCATTTTAAAATTATATTTGGTTATCAATACAAAGATAAATCCATCCAGGCTGCAGATGTACTGTAAAGCAGTAGCTGGTTCAAATAATCGGTCGCCATTTTAATGATGAATCTGATTTTATTAAATACTGATATCCTATTCTTGATTATTGAATATGGACTTCCTGAGCATCGTGTACTCAATATATCAGTCATGCATGCTTTTTAAGAAAGAAAACAGGAACTTGTTTATACAAAAACAAAAACAAAAATCTTAGAAATTGTTTTAAAATACCTTCCACAAACTTGCACCTGGTGTCTTATTAAATAATAGGCATGTATTATTTGGTGATCCATATGAAATAGACGTAAAGAAAAAGAGACATTTCATATAATACTGATAGAAACAAAAGGGAAATCACCAAGTATATTTAAACAATATAAAAATTGCTAGGACATATATATTTTATAAGTGTGGATTGTAGCATTGTCTATTAATGATTTGTGTCAGGATAGGTGATGCCATAAAAAATGTTAGCATCTTTTCATATACCAAGCGGTATATGTATTGTAGTTTTATTTTTTCTAAATCTGGCACATTTTGATATGGGTCGAATGCTTTCTGGGACTAATGCGAAGTACGAAGATATAACAGAGTATTGAAACACAGGTATTATATAAGTAATTAGTGGCAGATACCACATGTACATCTTATCAAAAAATGGGTTATCGATTCCACAAGCCATGCATGTTGATGATTTTTAGGCGAGCAATTATTTTACTTTGACAAACTTATCCTTGCATGAACAAGAACTGATATTCAACTGTCTGGAGAAATAAATAGCATGCATCGCAACAAATAAATGTAAAATATAGTAAGAGCGGATGAAATGACAAACCTGCAGACCAACGGCAATGAGCATAACTATAAGTTATATTAGTGCACATGAGTTACCGGGTAATCTGAAATGATAAGGAGTCTATACAAAACCTAGTTAAGAGAAAAAATATCAGACCATCAAAAGTACACATGAAAATGTATAAAAAAAAATGTATTTCTAAGCAAAACTCAACAGATACCCCACCCCTGCTTTCTACTTCTCCGTTCTTATTTTACACAAATGAACAGAACAGTCTTGCATAGGTCCTTTTGACCTAGCTGTGTTATGAAATATGTAGTGACCTATTGATGTAAGAGCATAAAGAGTATGGTAACCCCTGAGAATGCCAAGTAGCCTAGAAAAGTTCTTTCCCTTTTAAAAAAAGTGGAAAATACAGAACACCATGATATAGATAGGCACAGTACAAAATCCCCAATAGTTCAGGTATAAGACTACATCAAGTTTGATGAACCTCCATGCTCAGTGGAGCAGAAAATTAGGTCACTGTGACCTAGTTCAAATGTTGGACATCTGTGAAGCTATAGATGTTACAGCAAATGAAGTTTCACAAGGCCACATGAAAATGTGAAGAACTTAACTTAAACCATGTCCTATTTGTATGATACTTGGTGGAGAAGAAAGTATGTGTTTAGTGCAAGACACACTTTCATGCCAAGATGTAACAGCACAGGTTTGGTCAACCTGTATGAAAACAATTCAATAGATCTATTCCCAGGAATCAAGTATGATGGACAAATGAACAGGCATGCAAGCAGATGTAATTACAGAGGAAATGAATATCATAAACCCACTTTTTTATGAGGGACTATACTAATTATATAGCTAGATTATAAAGATTGGACACTTGCGTATTTTATGATTGTCAATATAATAAGCCATATAAACATCAAATGTGAAGTAAAGACGTTAGGATATTTACATATGATTTAAAGTCATCAAAACCTGCACAACACAATCCTAAGTTTAAATATTTTAAATTAACAAATCAGATCAAAATCGGATCAGTGGCACTGTAGACATGAAGACACAATCCAAAGGTCAATAAACACAAACTTATACATTTGTGAAAAGAAAAGATTGTTATACGCTCTTTTAACTCATTCACCCCTGAAATTCCATAATGGACTATTCCAACCTTTGAATTGGAGGAGTTCAAATGTGTCTTCAGGGGTGAATGAGTTAAACACTGTGAACACACTATAACATGTTTCTGTCATGGTAAAAATAATACATTAAAATGAGGCGCCATTTACAATACCGTAATTAATTTCTTTGAATCATGATGTCACAGTGAAATTTCTTATGAGATAAGCATTGCAAAGCATTATGAAGTTATTTTTCAACTAATGAAAATGCTTTCCATATGTGTTAAAAGTGCATATGCTCTGACACTTACAATAACATCAACATGCTATGGTAGAAATTGTGTATTACTATACAATAGTAATAGACAGTGTTTGTTAATAAGCCCACTCATTTCTTGTGAGACAAATTATCATTTAACCATACTGACTGTTGTTCCATGTACACCCTTTGTTTGAAACAATGTTTGAAGCAGAATGAAGAAAAAAAAGATTCAACACAAATTATCTGAATTAGCACTAGAAACATTCTATTAGAAAACGTAAAAAAAACCAAATCTAATATGACAATACATAACTTATATATATATAAATTATATATAAACGATTTTATATAAAATAATAACATATTCTGATGATCACACAACAAATTAATAATTGAATAGCACAAAGTTTTATAGATTGTTAGTTAGTGGTTTTATGTCTCTGTGACAGTACCATGTTGTATTATGGTCGAATTATGACAGTACTCACATGTAAATAATGACAAATGATGACAGTACATGTACTCACATGTAAACAATATGACAAATGATGACAGTACTCACATGTAAACAATATGACAAATGATGACAGCACTTACATGTAAACAGTGACAAATAGCACACTGGATTTCCTCAGATACAGCTTTGTTGTATTTTTTTAAATTGTGATTTATATTTTTTACTTATATTAAAAAAAAAAGCAAATTACCTGATGTGGTTTTTACAACTTGTACATTACTCTCTAATATACTTAATGTTACTTGTATATCATACACCATTGAGTATGGCATTGTTATTTAATATCATTATATATTATCAAGGTATATGATCATGTGCAACTTTTACTTGACACATTCATATCAAAGTTGGTGTCTAGACAGAAATTTTCTTCTTCTGATTATTTGTTTGGAAAAAGTTAGGTTTTATATGTAAAATAAATACGTATCTTAAAAGGACATCAGAAATACCTTGAAGTGTATTCTCTAGAGGGTCAATGTTTCCTTCCTTTAATGTCCATCCCTAAGTGCGGGGTAGTCATAATAACATTGCATCAATTCTGATGATAGTGTATATATATTATATATCTGTGACACAAAATCACACATAGATATCTCCTAAGACAAACACTAAAATAACAGTTATGCATAAAGATTTGTGAAAATCAAATATTAATTAGGTCAAAAAAAATTTATTTCCTCAATGTTTCCAAAAATATGGCCCTTTTCATTCAAATAAGGTTTTTTTCTGCATAGCTTGAATAGGACACTTAAAAAAATCTTGGGTCCTTTTTAAATCCCTTTGTTTGGAAAGGAAGGGGTGTCATCACACAACAAATGTTTCTTGTCTCCAAGTGGGACCGTACCTGCTATACTTTATTGTAATCTTTAAAAAAAAGCAAAAAAAAGGCAGTGTAATGATGACTGATATAGATCTGCATTTCTGCTCTCGTCAACTGTATAAAAAACACTACCAACCTAATATAATGAACTTATTTGCAATGCAAAAAAGGAAAACACATATACTGGTTCTGCCAATCAAATTGAGCATGATATAAATTATTGAGACATCACACACTCAGCCCCTAAAACATTTATTCTTATTTTGATATGTCATTATGGTCTCTACGTTATGAGACAGGAGTGTGACAGGAATCGATGTACCCATGGGTATCAGAAGATGGATAATATATGTTGAATTTCAGAATATATATATTGGCCACTTTTTGTTTTCACAGAGACAACGCAAGTATTTCGGAGTTTAAAGGGACTACACATGAGAGAGATATGTCACAAAATACACATCTGTTAAATACTAACTTATGGAATGTATTTAAGATACATCCTGTAAATTGAACTCAAGAACGTTGAAGAAGGAAAAAGGCAGAGAGATGTCAAAAGATGGACGGACAGAGATAATCCACAAAGATATAGATGTGGATCCTACCGAAAAAACAAACATTTGTAATATTATAGAGAGATGTGTTCAAATATTAAATGTGCTGACCTCCATCCATCCCCATGGCCACCCAGTTTCATGTATATACAATAATTTCTGAACATATGTTATCGTTATCATGATTAAATTGATATGAAATTAATAAATGCATCTCCGATATTTAGGGGGGAAAAGGATATCTTTTTATCAATTTTGTGTTTTATATATATATATGTCTACAAATAATAATAAGGGAAGGCAAAGGATTATCCTTATTATAATAAAACAACACATATACATGTACATTAAAAAATAACTAGCATCAACTCTGCCACAGTATCCAGTCATTGTGTACCTTACACATTATACCTGTGTAGATTTTGTGTTGAAGTTATCTCCCTTGTCTTTTATTACATCATGAATCAAGCATTGTGATGAGACCATAAAATCCGCCAGACAATTAAGAGAGAACAAATTATCATTCATTAAGGATGACTTTGACGGTTCTTAGTGGATTATGTCTTCCATCACAGTAGGATGGAGGATGTCTTGTAATCATTTTAATGTAAACTATGTATTCATGCATACAAATATAAATTGTACATAAAAACAAGTCATCTATATATAGGGTAAGAATATGCTAACAAAATCGGATATCACTTTCTTTTCATGAGTAATTTTCATGAACTATGCAAGTAGGTTTTCCTTGTGATTGTACCGGGGGTACGTACTTTACTTCGCTATTGAGAGGATGATACTTCAAAACTGACAGTAATTATACATTGGAAGGATATTTGCATAAGATCAAAATTCCAGAATGAGCCTATGTGACGGTTAACAGTTAACATGGATATTTATCTCTCTCGAAAAATCAAGTGGTTCAAAACAGATAACTTATGGATTTGTAACTTTATTGGAACGTGCCAAGAAAATAGCCTTTTGATGTGTAACTTCAGTGAAAGGCGTCTGTATAGTTACCTATGCATTTGTAGGTTTAGTTGAAAGTACTGGTACAAATTTGCTGTACATGTAAATAGACGCCATTACTAAAGATGCTCCACAAGTAAACTGGAAAGAGACATGGAAATCAAAAAAGTACATGGATAGAATACAGGATATGATGATGGCAGCTGATGTAGCAAACCCTTTGAGAATGTTGTCTGCATACTTCACCACTACAGCCACAAGGAGGCCACCAAAGGCTTGGATAAAGATAACAATGAAAACAACATAATCATACCCAAAAAAGAAACCCTTTTCTGCTACTTTCTCTCCATCTTTCAAGTACATGGCTATAAGTCCAATGACCCCCCCAAGTGACCCAAGCTGTACATTTCGTACCCATACTGACTGCTTGGTACCCTTGAGGATCTTCTCAAAGTAAACACCAGCAAAGCCAGACATTAAGCAGGAAATGATGACAGCGACCAGTCCGAGGGTCGGGTTCTGTACGACTTCCGTTGTTGCTGTAGACGCTGCCTTGGCTGGGGTGTTATCAGGTTGCATCTGTACTATGGCTACCCCAATAAACAGCACCACTAGTGACACCCACTGTAACCGGCTTAGTTGTTTCTTCAGCATCACGACTGAGAATAGGGCTGTCGTTAAAATTTTCAGCTGATAGGTAACCTGTAGTAAACAGATAAATTAACATCAAAACCAGTTAATGTTCTCAAATTCCTCAAAATTGAATTGATTACTGTATATATATTAATTGTGTATCTATGTACTGTAAAGCGCTTTAGAGCGGCTTATGTCAGCTAGATACATGTAGGGCGCTATATTAAATGTTGTATATTTATTGTAAATTTATTGATCATGTAACTCCTGGTATACTTGTACACGTGACCAGCAAACTTTTCAATGCTGACTGCTACATAATTAAATGAGATCTACTTGTGTACACAGGTACAATGTATTTATCTATGTTTGTGTTGAAATTTCTTTAGGACAAATAATATGTACATTTATACATTCCTTATACCAATAAGGCAGGACCAAGCACATACAAAATGGTATGTATTGATGAGATATTGTGAGTTATATCTTTCTTTCACTCTGGACAGGTGTGTCTACACTTTTCCCCTGTGTTATGTAACTAATATATTGACTAATGTTCACAAACAACACTGTATACTTTCACTAAATAATTGAGATGATCATGTAATAAATATTTCAGTTAAGTCACAATTGTATACTGTATTCTAGTAGTAATATTGAATAGTTCTAAAATCAATTGTTATAAAAGCGGGTTTTTTTTTTATTTCATCTTGGTTTTAACATTGTGTAAACTAGTTAGCGTATCTCATTTGATTTCTTCCAGATTTGGTCTGAAGGATTTCTTCTCAGTAGAAGATTTATCTCCCTTGTTGATTTACCAATCTTGAGAATAGTTCTATTTCAATTGTTCAAGTTAATAACTTATGAATATCATAATCAACATGTATCCATTGAAAGTAAGAAATATATGGGACCATATATATTACATTGTAATTTTGTGGTACACGTTTCTGTGACAGTAAATTTCTGACAACAAACCTAAAGCAGGTTTCTTAAATTTCATACAAGTACGATTGTATTGTACATACATTAGTATTGAATTGAGCTTTTCTTTAAGAACCTTTATCACTGTGAATACTAAACTATACACTGTATTAAGAATATATAAATATACCTGGAATGTTGCCGCATCTAAGTTCGACACAGCCACATATAAGAGGTTATTCTGTAAGACATAGATGAGGGAGGGTACTGATACGTTGATGCAGTCCATTGGTTGGCTGAAGATATTGTTATACAAATGTTTCATCCAATTCTTTACACTGAATTTTTCCTCCCAAAATACGATCCCTAAAGCTGTCAGGCACTTCAGAGCTTCAGAGACAATGACAGCTGTAGTGGCCATGAACATATCTCCCTGTCGAATCCGCACATAACGCATGACCAAAATAAGAGCTGCATTCTGGAGAGTTAACAGCACCAAGCTTACAGTTTTCAAGAGAGCGTTGGACTCTGCAATGATAGAAAACAACCAAATGAAATATTAATCCAAACACGAACTTCGATTGAAACAGATTTTTTTCTCAAGGTTCGGAAAAAAAAGGAGGACAGTGGAAGTTTTTTATTGGAGTTTTTTTTTTAAATTTACAAAATCTTGCATTAATTGAAACTCATATAAAAAGGTTTTTTTTTAAATTCACTTGTGTATTAAACTGTTTCTATAATTATTGTATCTGTTTCTGCATAATGAACCAGTGTAGTTAGGTTTGTCAGAACTTATATGTGTGATTTTCACTTAATATATCTGTACTATTTATATTTAATTATTGGTTATATTAGTTATACAGATCAATTCACACATGACATGCCATTAGTCATTTGAATCAAATTCATCATAACTCAGTAAATTTTTCACAAATCAACCTGAAACTTAGTTTAAAGATGTATTATAGTCTTAACATAAATCTGACTTTACTTACAGTATCATTAAGTAGTACTTTTTAAGATTTTGTCTAGTGATTAGCTGTTCTTGCTTGAAGATTCTTGTCATCACTTCAAGACTATATATATATATAAGAGTGACCAACAGCTGATAGCTAAGATTTTTTATTTCTATTAAGGTAAATAGAAAATAAACAGTTTGGAAATCTTGAACTTTAACAGGCTACATTAGTACATTAAAGAACAGAACTATAGTTGAAAAAAAACACATTGTGATTCCACTTTTAATACATATATATGTACCTGTATGCCCAAGTTATTTTTCTTATTTTAATAAACATAATGATAGTTTGAAATTCTGTTTCTATATAAAAGCATTTGCAAAAAAAAAAGTTTTGATAAAATTTGCCAGGAAACATGATATGTCCAGTGTTTTTTCTTGCCAATATATTTGGGGCCAAATTTGGGCCTGTTTCCAATTGTGCATGTTGTTTATTTTTGCATGATAGCAAAAAATATCCTGAAATTATTTGGGTTCTAAATATAACACCAGCCAGATTTTCCCAATTTCCCACTTGTGCCACACAAAAAATACTGAATACTTTTTCTCTCCAGATTCGACCGGGATATAGATTTGAATGTCACATGATAAACTTGAACCAGGATTAGCACTGAAAATCTGAGAGATGTCCACGACAATATGCAAAAAACACTGGTATGACGTTCCTGACACTGCACGTCCAACGACAGTATATCGTCAGTAGATATATATATATCCCTTTCAAGAAGAATGTGAAATTTCGGCTATTTTTGTCAAAACTTATCAATGTTTTACTCTGACAAAGTTGGTTTACTTTTCTACTGTTTAACATTTACACCAGAATTATTGTATGTACCCAACTGACCGTCAAATTATGCAACCTTTGTTCTGAAAACTTCTAACTTACCGGTAATAAACAACATATTACATCCAGGTTGCCGTTTACCAAATTGGCAAGAAAAAATGCTGACAATTTGTGATTCAAATGAATATAATTAATAGTGTGGAGGTCATAAAACAATTGAAAGCCTGTTTAATATTATTTAGTGCAATCTCATTTGGATTTTTAAAATTCTCAAATCCTTTAAGAAATATTTCAATGAAATTTTTACTAAAAGCTGAAATTGAACTGAATTCTTGCAGTATCAGCAAAATATCTTTGTTCAATTATCAGCTTCAGTAAATAATAGATTGTTAGATTTTAAAAAAATATTTCAATTTCAGCAATTGTGTTTCGTCACATTTATCAGTTTATTAACAATAATCTGATAATATAGCAATTAATGTCACTATCTAATATAAATAGAAATATGAATAATAAAAGGAACAAACAGATCAAATTATCATCCTAACAAATTTTAAAAGCAGTCATGGACATTGAGATCTCCATGTTAACTCCTAAAAATATAAATGGGGAATCATCTAAATGGGCTTGATCTTCACAGTTTTAATTCTTAAAAGAAAAATAGCCGTTATCAAAAAATCGTGCCTGAGCGATGATGCATAAATATTAAATAATCAGTACTACGTGGCTATCAACCTGACAACGCAATCAACAATCGAATCTATGAAGATAAGACACCGGCTAGTGAATCGACTAAGTCACTTTATCTACCGAGCATGAATCAACGTCCACGAAATTGCCATATGAGTTGTAGCTTGTTGAAAAACTGGACAAGAGAAATATCATGAAAACTTGCTTTATAGCAAGTAAATTGTGAGGTTATTCAATCTTACCCGATGGGTTGGAGGGCGCCATTGCTTTAGCGGAGTTACGGGATGAATCTCCGGTGTCGTATTGGATCATTACTTCCGTTTCCTCTTGGCCTTGAGACATTGCAGTTTGGAGGTGTGGCGAATGCGTCATTTACATGGCACAAACTTATATTCGCGTGTCACAGCTGTGTTGAATTAACGTTCATTGGTCAATATATCAGAATGAATCTGCTAAGCTGATAATCCCGGACAATCACACCTTCGTACAGTTTAACACCTGTCACCTGTCGTCGTGTCAAACCGGAACAACACAATAAATATCAAAGTTAGAAACGTATACCGTGCATATTTTCCGGATTTACTGTGTTACATAATGTAACAGGAGACTTCAGATATTTTTCTATTTTAACAAAAACAAAAGAACACAGAACTGTCATAGCAAGCAAAACACGTAACTTAAAATCATACAGTACATCTCATTAGTTATGTTTTGCACTTTATCCACCAGTGTCCGTTGATTTTCGGCAATAATTTACTGACAGTATGAAAATAATATTTTATTTTTTTCATCATTTTTTTTTCAATTTCAAATATTATTTTTCTTAAAAAAATTCCACAAGTTAAAATGTTAAAAAAACTTAGATAAATGCAAGAATGAAAAAAAATATGACTAGACCAGACCTTCTGCCGGTTCACTTTTGGACTCGCACAATATATATTATTCAAATAATTTCGCTGTCTTCAAGCAATTTAAGATAGGTACACCTAAGTTTTATGATAAATTCAATTCAGTCAGGGACGTATACTGTCCCTGATTCAGTGGAACATTTATTAATTTCAATTCAAGACAAACATTTGCACCTATCTTTGTTACAGATAGGTACAGTTGAACTGACCAATCGAAAATGTCTTCCATTGAAATATTGATTAACCCAATTCCAAATGAATTGAACCTGGGTATCAATGCAACCTATTTCCATTTTTTTTGTCATGGTGAATTTTATTTTTCAATACTTTTATTTAAAAGTACAATACATTTTTTTTATCTATCTCCAATTCCAACCTTTATAAACTGACTAAAAGTTGTCTTGATCAGTTCAATTTAGAACAGATATAATTCGATTGAATATTGGTTTAATTCTTCTTGTTTGGTATCAACTATTTCATCTGTGGCTAAAACATGCCTTCGTTTCGCGTTAGCGATTTAGTGAAAAAAATGACAACTATATATCGCTATCACCTGTCACCTTCTCACTTTCAGCCTTGTGAGTTGATTTATGTTAAATTCATGTTCATTTTAGGCTATAGTAATTTGAAATTGTATATTTTTTGAATGTTTGAATTTCAATCTGTCGTAAGACATAAATGTGACTGAAATCAGAGACATATAAAACCAGTATATACGTCTCTGCTGAAATATAATTAAACAATAGTGTAAAATATGTTGAATACGTTTGCAGCTGACGAGATTTAAAAGATAAATCTGGTGATTTTAACCATCTAAATGTGTATTTAAACTCTCTTTACCTTTGATAAAAGACACTTGAGTAAATATCGTGGACGCGAATAAAGTAAAAATAACGTTCAAAAAATAAAACAACAGTACTGAACCTGTATACGGGGGCCGCGGTACGTCACGTGGCCAACTGCTACCTCTAGCCCTCCACCACTGGGTCGCGGGATCGAGGCCTACGTTGGGCGGTCGCCAGGTACTGACCGTGAGTTGGTGTTTTTTTTTCTCCTGGAACTCAGGCTTTTCTCCACCACCAGAACCTGACACGTCCTTAAATGATAATAGCTGTAAAAGGACGTAAATAAACGTAATCGTTCGGAGTTGCGGTTGCGGAACTTCAAAGGGAATGGATTGTAGATGCGTGGAGTAAGCCAACAAAAACATCCTGATTTATATCTGAATACCAAACACATCTTCATACATAGTAGTCTACGGGATCACGCGCAGTTTGATCGGTGTTACTGTTGATTTAGAGCTTTCTAAGATGAAAAACACTCAGATTAAAAGCAAAAAAAACACCCCAAAGTTAAAGTGTACCTATACATGTACTGGCAGGAGTTAGTGGATTATAAACAGATAACATTATAAACCTAAGTAATTTTTTAAAATTTTTTACATTATATGCAAAGATGACGTCAGCAGAACGCGCAAGCCAAAGAATTTTTATTTTATATTGTATAATTTATTCAAATTGGGATTATTTAGTAGCGTAATTTAAAATTGAGGCTACGGTTTATTATAATCAGTAAACTGGTGAATTTGTTTTAAGTGTAAAAAAAATACGAACTGCTTCCTCAATAACAGAACTTGACAAGGCAAATACACCAAACCATAATTTCTTCATCGGTAGTATTCAAATTGTTACCTCTATTTATTGTTTCCTGTATATTTTACATGTACTTTTAACGTGATAAATGCTTGTAATATTTTAAGCAAGCTAACAATGCTTCTGTCTCTTCACAAAATCCACTATAAACCTAACAACTATGGTTATCTTTCGTCAGCATGGTTCATGACCGGTAATACGCACCTGTACACAGATAAAGTCAATGCCAAGGTCTTACAAGATAAACACAAGATCGGAATAATAAACAGTCGGTGGAGAAGACAGAGAAAATGTCCTCTTTGAAAGAAATTTGCGAGGGTCTCCCACTGGACCCACTTCCTCCGAGGCGACCGAGGGATGAATCCGTGGCCCACGCTCCCGTGCGGACACCCGATCTGTCTCCTGCGGAACAAAGGGTAGGTTTAGTGGTGGGGATGTACATGTACCTCAACATCAACTCACCACCTTACATGTATAACTCTCATTAGTACGCATGTTGATGTAATACTTTAACCTCCCAACTTTGTTACCCGTATAATGATACACTGGTACCGTATAATAGCCCCAAATAACCTCATCATCTGATAGATACACAAACAAAAAAGTAAAGAAAATAGACCGTCTTATAACCCCTAACCACTTCACATTTCTACCTGAATACTGTTGTACAAATATCGCCTTATGACCAGTAATGTTACATACTTAGTATACAACCGTCTTGTAACCTTTAAAAACTTCGCCATTCTACCTGTATAGCGTTATATCCGTCTCACATCTACAGCTCTTAACTACCAAACTTCTTTTGATAATATTTACTAACGCAATTTTTGAATACATTTACATGGATATATCTGATATATATATATATATATAACTTGCTGTGGAAACAATATCACAGAAACCTAAACACAAAGCACCATTATATTGGCATAAAATATACATAGACTGTACATGTACCAATACTGCCCCACACATAATCTAACACACACTCATGCTGTAACTGACTACACAACAGCCAAGCGAGCTTATGTCGTAGTGCAGCGTCCGTCGTTCGCCCGTCTGGCGTCAACATTTTAATTTAAACGAGGGTTAAATTACCAGGAAAACCTTTTAATGACTTTTTCATGATAAGCAAAAGGCCTATTTTTTGTATTTGGCCAGAAGAATGCTTGCTGAGATGAAGGACTATCAAGTTTATTCAAATGAATGACCTTCAACCATTCTAAAGGTCACTGATACCAAAGGAATAAAATCTTCCAAGAAAAACCCAATATTTATCCTGTTTTAACAGCTAAAATCTTAAATGATTGATTTGTTAAATCCATCATCTCTTACAGCAGTTAAAAAAAGATGGACATTAAATGTCCGACGAATTGCTTGACATTATTGAATGTTACATGTAAGAGTACTCATAAGGATGTTAGCCTTCACTGTTTTCCTTTAATGATTCAATTCATTTAGAAGATACTTTTTAAAAATATACAACTTTTCGTTTCCCATGTTATCTAACGCATGTGTTTATTATTCCAATTTTCTCGTAAGATACCTTGAATGATCCACTGTCCGACAAAATGTGTTGCTTATAAAACACCATTAACTTCTATAGAGATCACACAGATGGTTTAACTTCAAATTTTATAGTTTTGTTTCAATTTTTCTTTTACATCTATTTAAACCAATTCTTCTATTTCTATTTATAGCTGGCTTTGGAGAACGCCTTGCGGTATTTCCCGTCTAACCTTCACGAGACGTTGGCCCCAGAGTTCGCCGAGGAACTACAGAGTTATGGTCATATATACATGTATCGATTCCTGCCTCAGATGCAGATAAGGTAATTCTATAACTTACATTCTCATATTTTTTGTTCATTATTTGCGATAAAACATATTTTTTCAGAGTAGACCGTGTATATATTTAAACAAAAACGATCATATTTATTTAAGAATATCAGCGATATGTGTCATGTAAATTTGCAATAAATCGGTATAAATTTCCAGACTGCTTTCTATTGGATTTATATGTGACAGTTCTCATTTGCTACTCTTGAGCATGCTAGACGCACGAGGGATGTCTGGACGAATGTGCCATGTTGAACCATGTGTTACGTAACCAATGTTTTCTACTAGAGTTGCTTTAAACTTCGTTGCGGAAGTATCACCTGGTCGTACATACATGTACAATATACCAGCTTTTTTAATATCTTCGTCTAACATGGTTAATTAAAGACTTGTAAACTGTTACATGGCGTAATGTGACGGACATTCCTTATACATTGTATTGTAATGGGTACAGCATGTTTTGATTTGTTATTGATATCTTTTTATGGTCAGTAACTAATTTGTTCCGGTGTGAGAAATTTTAGTATACTGATTTTCTTTATTCTACCTTTCAATAATGTCTGGCAAGCACGAATTTTTAACAACATTACATTACTTTACCAATGTGCTATTTTGTTTCATTAGAAATACATTCTTCTCGTTTGAGCAAGTAATAGTTTCAATTTTTACATACAGGGCTTATCCTATTGGGGAAATACCTGCCAGAAATCGACATGCGGCAGCTATAATACATATGATTCTTAACAACCTTGACCCCCGAGTGGCTCAGTTCCCACAGGAGTTAGTGACGTATGGTGGGAATGGACAGGTGCTCTCAAACTGGGCACAGGTATATATGACGTCGCTATATATCTATGAATGTTATGCTAATGGTTATATACTGGTTATATACAATGCATCAGCTTTATATTTATTATAAATAGCGCATGTCTGGAAGAGAAAGAAAGTTAAAAATAAATATATCACAATATATATGATACTGTTTTTTTAAGAACGATTGACATAAATATAAATCAATGGTCAAATGTAGTCCTTTCTCCGACAGGTTAAAATACTGTTTATTGCAATATATGATCTTTTTCATGTGTATTCCAACACTGGATTCCTACTCATTTGTACTTTTTAAAACGAGAAGATTCAACCACATGCCACGCATGTGACACTCCATTTACAGTGGAACATCTTTTAATAGAAAGTTCCGATTTTAAACACATTCGTGATAATTGCTTTCGAGTGCCATATTCCATATAATCTATTCATTATATCTCTTGTTATTTTAACCCATTTTTTATTTTCATCATTTACAAATAGCATGCGAATGCTTTTAAACATATTCATTTTTATCTTATTTTAATTTCGCTACTCACATGTTTGTTTAAAAAAAATCAAAACAAAATACCACGGCCACAGTTGTCGATGGGCCGTAAACGCAAACAAACAAACAAACAAACAAACACTGAAATCACAGGCGATCCTCAGGTTTTTATATTAATTGTATCTTACAATCATCAATAGACGAAATAACAAATGACAAAGCATCTTTATACTTTTCCGGCCTGACAAAATACCTTTATAATTTTCCATGCGGACAAAACATCTTTATAATTTTCCACCCTGACAAAAACACACTTTATACTTTTCCACCCTTAAAAAAAAAACATATTTATACTTTTCCACCCTGACAAAACATCTTGCATACACCCATCCTCATATTACACACACCCTCAAATATAAAACAATCTTACATTCTAATGAAATGCTATGTAAAAAGTCAGTTTAACCTTTGTATGCATTTTCGAAGAAAGATTGTTTCTAAATACATATTATTGAAAACATACACGTGATGGTTTAAAATCAATATTTTTCCTGTGTCTTAGTTTTGGGTGCTGATGAAATACTTATCGGAAATGACTGACGATCAGACCCTAGTAATGAATTCCGGACACCCTCTGGGCCTCTTCCCCAGCAGTACGTCAGCTCCGCGACTGGTCATCACGAACGGCATGGTATGGTCTCTATAAAAATTGGCAATGCCAATTATCAATGCCAATTAACAGAATCGAAACCACTTCGTAATAAACTTCTGTAATAGGAAAATATAAACAAAGTGTTAAGGGGTCTTCCAAATATATTATCGTATTATAATAAATGTATAAATCAGTGAATAAAGTATTCAAATTATTCAAATGATGGTACATAAAGGGCCATATAATCATCTAATATCAATGGAAATACATGTCATACAAGATATATTCTAATTGGACAAATACAGGTCATACCAAATTACTCGTCAAGGGATGACTACGAGAAGATGTTTGCATTGGGGGTCACAATGTAAGTGATGCTGGATTTCTTAATGCTGTAAATGCAATGAGGCATGCCTTATAATTCAATTAAGATTCATAAAATGTAATATCTTTTTAGTAAAACACCTTGTTTTGTCCTGGTAATTTCCGTGTAAAGAAAGTTTAAATAGTTACCACAAAATGAAGGTACCTCCTAAATTCATGTATACACATAACATAAAAAGAGAGAATGTAGCGATTTTCAATCACAACAATATATAAATAATGAATCTGTTTCAAACGTTCGTGTATATTACTGTAGCAAACAATGTAAATACTGTACCTACATACGCAATGTTCTTTACCTCTACCTTACAAAATCGCAAGACAATTAGTTTCGACGGGAGATGAGACTCTTTGAGTTGTTACGTTTGCCGACATGTTTTTTTTTTAGATTGAGTCATAGTTAGTCAATATAGAAAGTCAAGGTTTAGACAAGGAAGGAAAGAAGGAAAATAGTGGTTTTAGACATTGCAAGGATTAAGAAAAATCCACCTTTAAACATGGATAAAATGTAGAAAAAGTCCAGGTTAAAACAGGGCAAGTATAAAGAGAGCTTCAAGGTTAAGACATGGAAATTATATAGGCTAAAACAAATAAACAATGTTTAGACATAGCAACTGTATAGGCAAATACAAATATACATATTCGACTGTGCAACTGGTTCCCTAAACACCAAACAAATATACCGTGTTTTTGTTACGAATTTATACAAACAAATGACTGTTAGAAAGAAGTTGTAAACCTAATGTTTAAACAATCCTATTGAATTATTAACTTCACGTTCCACAATAATTCTTTTGTTTCATTTCGCTGCGTATTATTTGTATTAGGTATGGTCAGATGACTGCCGGAAGCTACTGTTATATTGGACCACAGGGTATCGTCCATGGTACCACGGTACGTAACCTTGGTTACCACTGAAAGTCGTATATATATACGGTTAGTTATATGCTGTTTTGTACTTAACTAGACCAAACATTACAGTCTCCAATTACGGCCATTTGATATGAAACATTCCATTTCAATCAGCCGACGATTAATGCAGAAAAAAACCCTTTAACTTATTTCTTTTCTCCGTTTTCAAACTTATAAAACAATATTGATATTTATTGTTATGTCAGCTTATTTAACGTGAATATCATATATTATCCTTTTTGAAAATGTAATTTTATCGAACTATGATTCTGCTGCAGTGCTGCATATATTGGTATAATATAATTCTTTATTTTTTTAACGAGGATTACGAACAGCCCAAGGGCTACTAGTCGCTTTCCTCACATTTAACAAACAAGTGAACGGTACAACATTTACATTATTAACATACAGTACAAAATACAGGAAATACATGAACATTTACACTGGTCATTGGCACCACTTCATGACACATACACACACACACACACACACAACACACCAACACACACAAACAGACAATGACACGGAGAACAATAAGAAGGAAGAAAGACAGAGACAGACAGAGAGAGGGAGAGAGAGACAGAGAGAGGAGGAGAGGGAAAGACAGACAGAGCGAGCGAGGGAGAGAGGGGGAAGGGGAAGAGACAGACAGAGAGTCTACTTGAATCTATTACTTCCCTAGATATAATTAAAGACAGAATGAAAATATTGGGTATTGGTCTGTTGGTCAAGATAATTTGAGCCTTTAATAAGTAATGTACAGAGCTGATCAGGTATTAAATTAAGCACAGTGTCTTGATTTACGTTTGGTGATATAATTCTAGATACAGTTTGTAAAAGGGTATGTCTGACATTCTGGTATTTTGAACAGTTACGAAAGAAATGCTTTTCGTCCTCAATCAAATTTAAACAGTTATCACAGTACTTATTGGGTGTTAGATTGTATGAAAATCTGTGTTTGTTAAGAGCACTTAGTCCCATTCTTATACGTACATGATCTATTTTATGTTTGCCATGGCCATATGAAAATATGGGATTTCGCTTAGTATCTGAAGATTTAAGAGAATTTCGGATGTTTTAATTTGACATATGTTGGTATATTAGAACTACATAAATCTTATTATTTTCTAAAGTATATTCCGCGCTTCTGAAAAAGAAAATAATTTTGTAATTATTTATACATATCAACAGGTTTCGTCACTTCCCTCTGATTATTTTAATTTGCTTGTTTAACAAGTAAAACGACGCAACAACCTACAATTATGTAATTGGTTATTATTTACGCAGCGCAAGTACATTTTCCAGTCACTAGCTTTTATATCATCATTAAAGATGTACACCTCTGAGAAGTCAAACATTTCCTGTATTAAACTTTTTTTCTTATAGGCAATTTTTGGAAAAAGGAGTTAATGGCATAGTAGAAAATGCAAAAAAACCGATATGTCGGTGTGTTCGTTTTTGTGCTATGATCGGTCAAAGATACCAATTCAACACAACATGTGATTTTAGGTGAATTTTTGGGTTTTGACCATTTGCGGAACAAATTCATACAATTTCTTTCAAGTGTGTGATCAGATGTGTATGAATGTTTGTAGAATTGATAAAAATATTAATTTCTTTTAAATTATGGAAGTAAAATTTCTTAATCTTATTCTTTTAACTCAGAAAGCCGATTTTAGTTACCCCTACCCCCTATTTTTTAATGAAAAAATACTCATTTTTTTACCATTTTTTGCAGATTAAACGCTTGATATAAAAAGTTCTGGCATTAAACTTTTTTAATATTAAATGAACTAAACGAAAATGTGTTTCTCTTTCTAAAATATCCATAAAATGGGGGGTCGGTGTGCTTCTTTTTTTGTCCCATTATCATTTGTGTTATTTTTACCTTTTTCGGGACCAAAAATCAAAAGTGCTTCAGTTACACTAAATATGTAAAAAAAAATATCAATAATGTATAATTTTCCAGTTTGTTGCATATTATTTTTATCATTTTAAACATTATAAAGTTGTACAGCAAAATTGAACCTGCTATAATTAAAAATGACGACACAATGACAACTTAAGTGATCAATCTAGTGTCAAAAAAGGTGATTTTTTTGCCTTTTTTGAAGCCCAAGAAATACACATTAATACTCATTTTCAAAATGGCCGCCGAATTGGTATTTTTTCTAAATTCTTGTAAAAAAAAGTTCTACAAGCAACAGACATCTAGTTTTTTGACATATTTTTCAGATGCGTGTTTGCTAATAAACTTGATCATAATTTGTTAAATATTACAAAAAGCTTTTACACCAGATCAAAACTAGACTTGAACGTGATTGAAACCTCAGAAGAGTACATCCTTAACCAATTATTATTATGATGTTTGTTAAAAAAATCTCGTTTTCATGTTTGTAGCTTACTATCCTAAACGCTGCTAGGAAACACCTTGGCGTTACAGATATGGCAGGGAAGGTAATAACAGACTGAATCCACAGTGTTATCCTGAGCACTACTTAACCTTACAAAATAAAAATGTTCCTGTTGTACAAATTGTAATCAAGTAAAATGAATCTGCTTTTAATGTTCACATGCCCGTTGATCACTTGGAAGATTCAGAAATACATTTGAAATATATGTCACCTGTCAAAATTAAACCCGAATTGTTAATCATGAAAGGGGCATTTAATGAGCAAGGATAGTAAAGCATAACCTTTCCTGATTATCAAACAAAAACAATTCACACAGACTAACCAGGTTATGCATTTTCCTTCGTTTTTGATAAAAAATATATAAATATATACAACCTGTCTTAGAAGATAAATATTATTTATATAGTACAGGATATGTTCTTCACACATTTGGTTGTCTTTCTAGATGTACAAGATGTGCATTGGCAGATAGGTGACGTTTTGAGACACTACACTCGTTGATGCCGTTCATGTAGATATTTTCCCTTTCTATGAGAAAGTTCAGAAACTGACTGTTCACGTTTCAGGTTTTTGTGACATCCGGACTGGGAGGAATGAGTGGTGCCCAACCAAAGGCTGCCGCCATTTGTGGCTGTATCGGGGTTGTGGCAGAGGTAACACGGTGTCACTACTAATTCAGCGCTTTAGTGTCTATAATGATAACTTATGTTATTTAATTTTCTTTAAAGTAACTACTAAATGAACGCATCAAATATGACTTCAGGACGAAATTCTGCTCTATCACATCTTTTGTCACTCTAGCAACACATACTCGAAATGGTCATTTGGGTCAGTTTATTAACATATGACATATTATAACTATACTATATGCTTTAAAAATATATCTATGTAATTGAACAATATTGACTTGATTTGTATAGAGGTACAATATTGATGACAGATAAGTATAGCACAAATAATCACTCTGTACTCGCACAACGATTAACGTTTGCGGTTTGCGTATTTGTTCCTTTAAATGGTTAATATAAATTTACCATAAGAATAGAATGTTTTAGATATCAGTTTCCAAACATACACTATCTTCAGTCATATCTAAACTGTATAAACTGTAGACAGGTGGTCGTTATAGATAGATGGTGTATTTGTAGGTATAGAGGGGTGGTTGATATATACAGTTGGTAGCGATAGACAATTGACAGCAATATAGACAGGTGGTCGTTATAGACAGATGATAGTTGTGGACACATCCACATCCACATTTTGTAGAAAGGGGTATCTTTTCACAAGTGAAAGCATTTTTTTGCAGGCAAACCAACGGAAACTATAAATTAATATTGATTATTTCATATCAACATCACTAGCCTGCTAGTGACGAACCAGAAATATTTATACTTGAAAGAAAATATTGTACAATATTTAGCAACATTTAAATGCCAACTAATATTTAGAATAAGTGATTCCGCCACAGGTAAGCAGGGAGGCATTGGAAAAGCGACACAAACAAGGGTGGTTGATGCAAGTAACTGACAACATGGACGAATGTATGGCTATTATCCGACAGGCTCGGAGGCAGAAGACAACACTGAGCCTGGGGTATCATGGGAACATCGTTGATATTTGGTAATTGAAAAGTGATACTTTATAACTCTTTTAATATAAAATAGCACAACTCCGTTCATATCGTATACTGCATACAATAGACAAAAATGTAGACTTACACTGCCAAATCAGAAATAAGAGACCATTATGCTCAATACATCCGAAACCTGGTCTCTCAACACAAGTGGTTCCTCACTGCAGGCGCAGTTCACAATAAAGACACTACAATCATTAAAAGCGGTCTCTTAACACAGGTGTTTTCTTAAAGAAAGTGGCCGCATAAATATGTTTGACAGTAATAAACAGTTCAATTATTTACTCTTGCTGTCGTTATTAGATAAACGTTATTTCACGTCTGTCTGTAGGAAATGATACAGAATTAAGCTCGCTAGTTCCGATTGAAGCAAAGTGACATGACATGAATTTATTTAAGCACTGTATCGAACTAAAATCGCTACCAAGAGCATAAAAACAGCAAAATCGCTTATATTTATGTTAATAATATGCATGTTGTTTGTGAATTACCAGGGAGAGATTTGTGTATGAGTATGAGAGCACAGGAGATCTGTTAGTGGACCTGGGATCAGATCAGACTTCCTGTCACAACCCATTCCTCGGCGGATACTACCCTGTACAGGTACGGTCTTAAACAAACGTTGAAATATAATATTGATCCAAATTCATACCACACATCCATCTACGATCTTACTAGCTGGTACAAGTGGAGTTCAGATATAACTGGTTCAAATGTTTCTATTGATTCAAATGTCGATCCTCATGCAAGTATATATACAGCTGTCGTGTTTTTGTTTTTTAAATATATATATATATCTTGTATTGATCGGCTGTCGATCTAAGCTAAATATCTAGGTATAATGTTTCCTATGTGTGTACTGCAAAGAGAACATCTGCATCAGTACATATTTTTCCTCTTGATATTTTAATTACTCAAGTATTGTTAAACCGTTCTATTCTATCCAGGACAAAATTCTTATTTGCTATCGTAAAGTGCATTTGCAGAGAGTTCCAAATTGAGCCAATTTAACTGCTAACAAAGGAGGGAAAAGTAACAAGGCTTGACTACACAATAATACTTGGGTTTATATCAGAACTTTACCTTGCTAAACGTCTTCCACTTCACTGTATGGCCAACTAAGGTTTGTACATTGTAGAGCGAAAGTAAAAACTAACTTGTCCAAATTATGTTATAGATAGTTTTGTTATGGTACTAGCATGTGCTTCTCTCGTTTGACTGGCGGCTTTTCCGTCATCGTTTCATAAGTGATCGCGCCGCCACGTTTTAGATTACTTTAGCTGTCTTCAGAATCTTGTACGCCAACCTATTTAGAAATCCCATTAACGACTTTCCCTATTATATCATAGTCAACCATTATGTTTTTTTTAACAATATTCCAGATTTCATACGAGGAAGCACTGACGACTATGCACGAAGACCCCATACGATTCAAAAATCTTGTCCAGGAAAGGTTGTGTTTTACAACTCTGTTGTTCACACTTATCGTGATCATGGATACTATATTTTCGTAGCAAATATGCGTTTCTTATTGTAACTTTAAATACTATGTATATGGATAATATATTTAGGTTGATATACGTGTGCTGCCGTACGGAATAGAACCGATTTACACCACTTCATGATAACGCCAAGCCGTTCAAAGAATTCGGTTTTTTTTCGGAAGTGTCCTTTTGCTTTTGAGAAAATAAAGCGACGAAATAGATCATAAACATATTGCAACAGTTGGGATATTTATCCTTTTTTTCAAGTTTTATATAGGAACACTGTTGACACAGCTTCCATCTATCCTTTTTTATTATATCGTGAGGCACTGTTTGATCTTATTGTGTTGATGTTGCTAGATTAGCTACAATAATTCTTGCACAATTACATTATTAGCTATCTATATATTTAAAACTAAATTGTCTGTTGTTGCCAACATTGTTTGGTAATGTTACAAAGTGTTAACTACACATCTTTTTCCTTTTACTGTATTTCCAAATTCATGGACGAGACAGTGATATGGTGAAGTTAGTCCTTACTTTGTTTTACTTTCTGCATTTAGCCTACGGAGACAAATTGCCGCCATTAACAAACTTGCCGACAGAGGAATGTTCTTCTGGGATTATGGAAATGCTTTCTTACTAGAAGCGGACAGGGCCGGTACGTCGGTTGCCACTACACATTTATGAACTACTTTTACATTATATAAAATAATGATAATAAAATATGTGTCTTAAGACTACCCATTCGTAATGCTTAACATAATAAACTACACAAATATCAAATGTTTTATCTTACATTTACCCTTCAGTTCCCCTCACGAATTAAAGGTGAACGATACGGTTTTGAAATCCAGGTTAGTGTCGAAAGTGACTGTCAAAATAGGTTGCATTACAGTAGAGAAATGGACGTAGGGAATGAATTTATTGTCGGGAACACTTGTTGATTTGTTTCTTAAGAACATGTCCTCGTCGTAATCATTGCAGGTGCTGAGGTAGGCCGACAGCAGGGACTGAATGGAACAATGTTTAGATACCCTTCCTACGTCCAGGATATTATGGGCGACATATTCTCCCTAGGGTTTGGACCATTCAGGTAGCAACGTTATCTTTCTTAAATCTTGTTGGTTGTGCAAAAAGAACTTTTCATAAGCAACGTTATCTACTTATGAATAGGTTGGATAAACAATCGTGAAACTATTGAAAATTCATCAATTCAACTTTAAAAAATCTAGAAAATCTATAATACTGAGGTGTCAGAGGTAGAACTTGTCAGGTAAAATATACAACATGCAATTTTCACTTACAAGTGATTTCAACTTTCATAGTAAAAATTCAGATAGAAATTATACATAATCTATAAAAGCTAACGCCATTTCAAGTTACAGGCTTTTGCTGTAAAACAAACGTTCATGTTTAGTGATTATATCGATCATACTTACAGATGGGTGTGCACATCTGGCGACCCGTCTGACCTTGAAAAGACTGACGAAATAACGGCGTCAATACTGGAGGACATTATCAACAAAGGAGGTGAGGTAACACATTGAAGCCATCGTGTACAATAATCTCTAGAAATACGTACAAAAGTACCAATCTATATAGTACGTCGATGCAGAAAGTGCTTGTATGTATTTGGTATAAACTGAAAGCCAGACTTCAAGGTATTTTGAAATGGTTCCTTGACATTGTATGCCATTTGTCAGAAATACTTATGAAAATTACTTCCGTTTTCAGTACCAGAAGGAATCAAACAACAATATACTGATAATATCAGATGGATCAGAGAGGCGAAGTCAAACAAACTGGTAAGTTAATAGGTAATACAAAACACTCAAAAAGCAAAGCCACAGTTTATCTACCACTCTCTCATAAACACGGGCATATATTTATTCTTGTTAATATGATTGTCACTCTTCTGATTAAATGGTAGGGCATACATGCAATCACAATTTGAGTTTCCAAAGCGAAGTGATTGTTTTTCGAGAATTCGTCAACTTTGAATTCACTCCACCATCTTTGCTGGAAAGCTATTCCACATACAATTATATGATATGATCATTCATTGACACTACTGAATATGAATAGGTACAGTGTGATCTAATGTAGTTCTGATTATTAGGTTGTTGGATCTCAGGCGCGAATTCTGTACTCCGACCAAAATGGTAGGATTGCAATCGCAACAGCTTTCAACGATGCTGTGGCAGACGGGAAACTCAAGGTGCGTTCCACCATTGAATCGATACAATTCAATCATGTCCTGTGTGACATATCGAAACATGTTGACGACTAAACAGTAATTGATGATCTTAATTGAGAGTACATTTAACTAACTTCCAATGCAGAAGCGAGCGCTATAACCTAAATGTAGTTAAACGATTTTATCTACTATTGGATGATTTTAATATCCAGCATATGCGTGCTATCAAAATCACCTGTTGCAGCATCTCATAAGAACATCACTAAACAGTGTCGTTGGTATGGTACATTTTTGTATCAGTGGTAGGAGAACATTACAGTCCAAGCTAGTACATCACCTTAATATATCATTAGGGTCCAGTGGTGTTGAGTCGAGATCACCATGACGTGAGTGGTACAGACAGTCCGTTCCGGGAAACGTCCAACATATATGACGGGTCAGCATTTACAGCAGGTAAGAATCATTTTCCCCCACCCTTCACAGCTGTGTCTACTTTTGAAACCGGAAAATATCAGCTTGTCACCCTCTAGGGGGAGATAGCATCGTGTATAATGGCGCGATCTAAGTTATAACAATAGTATGAAGTTACGTCATCAGTGTATTGACGTGACGTCAGCAGAACAGACCATGTAAGACAACTCTGGATTTGCTATCGACGCTTATATTGCGTGAATCACCGCTTATCGGTGGGTTTTTCAGTGAAACAGGATTGGACAAAAACAGTCATATCCTACCTTGATACCTTGGTGTGACAAGAGAAATCTCCAACCCTCGGTATGATATTCTCGATTGTCTTACCCTCGACAAAGCCTCGGATCAGACAATCAAGAATACCACCCCTCGGGTTGCAGATTTCTCTCTCACACCCTTAAGATAGGGGAAGTTACTATTAATCTACATACGATTAAATAAACATTTCATTACCATATGTTTTTGACTCCGGTCCATGATGTCTCTTTTTGGTTGCTGTCGTTAACATTTCGTGTCGACATTGTTCGTGTCTTAACGTTTAGTTAATAATTTTGTGTGTTTATTTACAATCCAACAGCCATGGCGAGTACATGACAACCAATGGTAATAGGTATTAACAGTCAGTTATCAAAGCATTAACCGCCGCTAAAAACATATGGGGTTTAAAATATCCCATAAGGATATAAAATCAGTATGTTATGTCAACATTGCCATATAATTGTTGTCATGAAAATTACTGGTTTAATGAGCTGTATGCACACGAATTTTTCCTTCAAAATTACAGTCATATTGTTTCCAATAGTGTAAGATATTGTATACAATGATTGAAAGCAACAATCAAATACTGATGTGTCCGGGCGTTTTGCGTAGTTTGAAGATCGCATTTAAAGTTACGTAGGTAAAACTAGGTGAACATTGAAAGCTTACAACATAGTACTAAGTATATTATTGATATTACCAAGAAAAGAGTCGATGGTTACCTTGGTTTTTGCAGACATGGCAGTGCAGAACGCCATCGGAGATGCATTTCGAGGAGCTACGTGGGTAGCTCTTCACAATGGCGGAGGTGTAGGTTGGTGAGTATCTTCATTATTTGTTTTTAACGATTTCAATCTGAATTGCTGAAGTATATGTATCGTGATAAACATTCATATCGTTTCATAGTTTTCCATGTAATGAAACAGTCAATTAGAAGGTACACAAATATGTGTATGTAAAATATAGCTATCTATTGTAATAAAGCAGTCCCTTGGATGTAGAAAACCCCCTATCCTTCGTACTAGTGTGCGCAACATTAAATTACCCACTGAAACACCCGTCTTTCGTAGCATTTCGCGTAGTCGGGCAGTCAAGGTGTGACGTTACGATGAACATGGTCTCGCTTTACCGTGAGATGACATCAAATTTGACCATGGGGCCGGAATGAAAATAATTAATTTTGCTCATTGTTTGCACATGTACTTCAATGATTTTACTCCTAATACATATATTTACGCATTAACGACAAACATTCTTACTCATATTTATAGACGATATGAAACCGTACGCTCAACGTTAACAACTGACGGTAAAACATTCGGCAAAACATGGCATTACTCCAATTCATAACTTTCGGGTGCCATGTTTTTAATTGAAAGTCTCTTTATCAAGGACTCCCGATCGAGTGTCCGATGTTTGTCAACTATGCCTATAAAACAAGTAACATTCCACAAACAGATACAATCTGGATCTTGCTTGTGTTTTGCGCTACGGTGTATGCCGTCCATCACAGGTGATACTCTTACCAGTGGTTCTACATGCAATTGTACAGGATCATATCTATTACGGTTGTTTATATTAATATTTATAATTGTCATGTGAGTTGTTACTTTCCTACAGGGGCGAGGTGATCAATGGAGGATTTGGTCTCGTGTTGGACGGATCCCAGGTAGGGAAACAACATGACAAAACTATTAAGGATGCAATTGATAAGCGAAGTCAGAATGCATCAATTAGTCAATTATAAATTCACGTTCATAATGATACTAATATTGTAACTTTTAATTACAGTAATTGAATAACGCATATAAAATATTCTCCCGACATGATAATCAAACTTTAAATATTAAAACGTCTGTGGATACATTTGTATACATCGGATAACATCATTTATATCCTAGGATGCTGGCCAACGAGCAAAGCGTATGCTGGCTTGGGATGTGTCTAACGGTGTAAGTATCCACACAAAACACCCCGATAGCGTTGAACGAAAGCTGGCATAAATAGTTATGTATTAACCATTTTAATGCCAAACGAAATTTTATTTATGATGTACGTTTATTCCTGTGTTTAGAATATTAACCATAAACAAAATTTGGATAAAAAGATGCTTGGTCGAAATAACTCATTCGGAAGAACATATTTTCGTGATGCTAAGTCAAAAGAAAAAGAACTCATTCGGAAGAATCTCTTTTCATGTCGCCCATTTTCGAGCATATGCGTTGAAAGCATCCATAAGAATTCAAAATTCTATTTAGTGGTGCGTCTCGATAGCTTACTACATGTATGTTATCAAGTTTACCATATATATACCAAGACGAAACATGGCTAGATACATTTGTATACTTTTACCCGGGGTAATTCTTTTATATAAAATAATCTTCTCAGAGTAACTGTACAAAAGTGCTCAGCATTGGTAGAAATGCGGTCTTTATACAAGTCCATCAGCTACGCAGTAGTTTAATGAAATAAACTAGGCAAATACGACTCAAAATCGTACTTTAATGATCCGATATATGCGTGCTTTACTCAACATGTGCAGTGAGCGGTATTGGTGCTACGAAATGCAAATCAATTAACTGTATTATCTTTTGTAAGTGGTGTTTGATCAAAATAGGAGACTTTCAAAAGTATTTTGTTGTATTATACACGTCACGCCTTTCAAACTTTGAAATGAATATAACTTAACTTATTCATGATATGTCACAGAATGTCCTTTGCTTTTGTGGTTTCGTTAGAATGGGCGAAATATTAATAGGAATTTCATTCAAAACCACTATGGAAGTGGTTACATACACATGTACTTGTAAACAGTAAGATGCATGTTGACGTTGACATCCTTATTTCTATACTGCTTTGTACTAAAATATAAATTGGATCATAGCTATCAACGTTTATAAATCGACAAGTTTTACTATCGGTGCATGACTTTAAACATGTTATTGAATTTTCCAGCAAGCAATGTCATTCAGCGAGAAATAACGCACTACTGAAATTTCGTTTACTGTATTTAGGTGGCAAGGCGGTGTTGGTCCGGCAATAACCGAGCAGAGGAGACCATTTGTCGGACTATGGATGACAATCCCAAGTTGAAGGTCACACTGCCGAACCATGTTGAGGACAAATCTATCCTTGACAAAGCTCTGGGCAACGCATGACGTTTTAGGCTTTTATATACAATTCTTTTGTGAACTTAAAATTGGAAAACATGAATTCATCAATCGTTCATAAAACGAATCATTACGAAATCTCAATTAACAAAATCACAAACAATCAATTCGCCCATCTATGGTTTTTAGATCTGATCGATTTTAAAAACTATCAGGAACGTTTCAACGATAAAATGATCATAACGAAGTTCAATTAATGGTTATATACTGTATCATAATATTAAGGAATATATACTGTATGAAATAATTTGCTATTTTACACATTATTTCACCCTTTTGCTTTTCTGCCACATTTGTGAAATGCCACCAATAATAAGGTCATGTAATTATCGTCAATCACCAAATTTATACATGGAGCTGTATACTCTTAGGGCAAAACAAATAAATCCATAAAAACATAAAGTAAAATCACTATTTTAAAGCTGGCAGCTAACATTATATTGCAAAATCAAATTATATTCACAAAACATCAGTAATTTCTATTTGCATTTCGTGATGTTGTTACATGCTTTCATTGGTTAAACGGTTTGACTTTCAACACTTTCACCTTTATCTTTCACCTTATGCGCGCAACACATTCCCTTTATCCCTCAAAACATTTAGCATTAGTAGGGTTTGTTTATTATCGGTCCAGACGGACAGTTGGAATCCAATATGCTGTGACCACTCATGCATGACATAAGTATAGTTATTCTGTAATTACAGATTTTCTCTTAGGAGTTATTTATCTAAACAAGAGGCCCAATGAGCTTGAATCGCTCACCTGGTATTAATCTCACACTTGTAATCTTAAAAGTGGACTAAAATACAGCTACATGCAGAATATCAGTGTTTGATTTATAAGAACCTATTAAAAGATTTTAACATATGACGCCTGTGACCTTGAATGTCGAACAAGGTCATAAGGTTGAACAGAGTTTTTAGTCTTCAAACCAAGCATGCTTTTGACAAAACATCATTACCCTGGACCTTTTAGTTATACAGAACAAGCCAATTGAAGACTTAAACATATATTGACCACTGTGACCTTGAATATGGGCGAAGGTCATACATTTGAACAAACTTGGTAGCCCTTCATCCTAGCATGCTACTGGCCAAATAGCATCATTGTTATTGAGAAGAAGTTGAATAAAGGTTTTAAACATATTTGACCATTGTGGACTTGAATATTTGTCAAGGTCATTCATTTTCACAAACTTGGTAGCCCTTCATCCCAGCATGTTACTGGCCAAAGATTATTTTTTTAGACAATTGACCACTGTGACCTTGAAAACAAATGAAGGTCATTAATTTGAACAAACTTGGACGCCCTTCGTCCCAGCATGCTTCTGGCCAAATATCATCACCCTAGGCCTCTTGGTTATTCAGAAGAATTTGTTTAAAGGTTTCAAACATATTTGACCCCTGTGACCTTGAATATAAGTAAAGGTCATTCATTTTAACAAACTTGAAAGCCCTTCATCACAGCAAATTACTTACCAAATATCTTTATCCTAGGGGTCTTGGTTATTAAGAAGAAGTTGTTGAAAGTAAAATATTGACGCCGGAAGACGGACGCCGCACCACGGCAAAAAAATAAAAGTGAAATAGCCTGGAGAGAGGATTACATACAGGAAATGCTGCAATATGGCCAATAATTGTACCGACATAAAACTGTATTTACTCTTTATACAAACAGACAAAGTCATGTTCTTTTTATAGCTGTATATCATGATCATCTCATAGTTACATGTCCATATGAATCTCTAATATAACTGGTAAATATGTCAATTTCAATGTATTTTGAACCAAGACCTCGACGCTGCTGACTGATATAAGCTATTCCAGTTAATCAACGACTTAAAATAAATCGTCTCTATATACATGTATCTATGCTTAGTTTCCTTGCCTATTACTTCTCTACTATAAATGAATTGAATAACAACCTTGTTCATGCTTCATATCCTTCTGCTAAACCATTTAGAAAAGACGCAATTTCTGAGTGGCAGAAAGTAGAATTACCAAGTAATAGTAAGTTTTAAACCATTCTTCAAACCTTCCAGCGACATATTATGTACACATCTATTGCTCATGTGTATCAAATATTAATACAATAAACACAGTGATATCTTTGACTCGAAGAAAATAAATTCAATTCCACTCCAAATATGTTCTTTAACATACTTTTATTTCGTTTGAATTTGAACTGGAGAAACTGCCATCATCTGTTCTGCTGCCCAGGAGTGGCAGTTTTTCTGAAGGCATTGAAGTGCTCCAGGTACTGGTTGATAGTGTCTGCAGGAGTGTATAGAGAGTCCATTTTAGTTTTTATGTATGATGGTGGAGTATCAGCTGTATTACCCACAATGCTCTGTAAAATTTCCTTCATCAGATTCCAACAATCACCCGGAACTTGAGAAGGACAATATTCAACCTGAAATGAAACAAATAACCTACATCAGTTCACATGTGAACCACACACCTGACAGTCCTGCTCATGCACACATAAACCTGGACATAATCAGGACTGACATTATTTTTATATGGCTGTTTTCTCATTTAGAAATTAATGTTCTACTTGAGCACAAGGCAGAAAACAAGAGGCCCAATGGGCCTGCATCGCTCACCTGGTATTAATCTCACACTTGTAATCTTAAAAGTGGACTAAAATACAGCTACAGGCAGGATATCAGTGTTTGATTCATAAGAACCTATTAAAAGATTTAACCATATGACGCCTGTGACCTTGAATGTAGAACATGGACATTAGGTTGAACAGAGTTTATAGTCTTCCAACCCAGCATGTTTTTGGCAAATATCATAACCCTGGACCTTTTGGTTATACAGAACAAGTCATTTAAAGATTTAAACATATATAGACCACTGTGACCTTGAATATGGACAAAGGTCATTCATTTTAACAAACTTTGTAGTCCTTCATCCCAGCATGTTACTGGCCAAATATCAATATCCTAGGACTTTCAGTTATTGAGAAGAAGTTGTTTAAAGGTTTTAAACATATTTCACCATTGTGACCTTGAATATAAGTAAAGGTCATTCATTTAAACAAACTGGGAAGCGCTTCATCTCAGCAAATTACTGACCAAATATCATTATCCTAGGGCTCTTGATTATTCATAAGTCTTTCTAAAGGTTTAAAACATATTTGAACCCTGTGACCTTGAATAGATATCAAGGACTTAGGTCATTTGTTTGAACAAACTTGGTAGCCCTTTATCCCAGCATGTTACTGGCCAAATACCATTACGGTATCCTAGGTATTTTAGATATTCAGAAGTTGTTTAAAAAAATTCTAAGACAATTGACTCCTGTGACCTTGAAAATAAATGAAGGTAATTCATTTGAACAAACTTGGTAGCCTTTCATCCCAGCATCCTTCTGGCCAAATATCACCCTGGGCATTTTGGTTATTCAAAAGTTGTTTAAAGTTTTTATCATATTTGACCCCTGTGACCTTGAAAATAGGTGAAGGTCATTTATTTGAACAACTTGGTAGCCCTTCATTTCCGTTTGCTTCTGGCCAAATATCATCACCCTAGGCCTCTTGGTTATTAAGAAGAAGTTGTTTATAGTAAAATATGTATGCGGGACAGTTGGATGGACGGACGGCCAGGTGATCTACCAAGAAAAAGCCAGTATGATTTGAATTGTAACATATATTGTATGAGACCTAAGACAGCTGGGTACTGGTGGACAACATTGTAACCCCGGGTACTCAACTTGCCCAGGTGTAAAAATGTCTGGTACAAAATCTGATGAACGAGTATCAAATGAAGGATTGTGCACACTACTGTATACTGGGTTCGCTGCAGATTAATTTTCACCTTTTTCGCCCTCATTACACACCCTCTGTAATGAGGGCAAACTTATCATTACAGCATATATATGTAAACCCATCATAAGCATAGTTATAAAATGTGAGGGCGAAATTAACACTGGGCGAAAATTGATTTCATGGGCATAGGGCAAAAGTTTGATTGGGCGAAAATTTCCCAGTATACAGCAGTTGGGCATGACTTATATTTGCACTTAAAGCATGCAATGTCTTTGGTGCAATGTGCCATCACACAACTGTACATATATTTTTACCCTTAATTTATTTTCATTCTCACCTAGCAGACTATTTAACACAGCAAAATACTTGTATTAACTAACACCTTACATAGTATACCAAACTAAATCAGATCTTACCTCTATGAGAACGCCTTTAAAGTTTGCCATCAGGGACACAGAACCAATCTTAATAACAAAGTCTGCCAATTCATATCGCTGGCCACGAGATTCTATTTTAAAACCTTTTCTCTGCTGGAAGAATCCTTCACGTCCTGACTTTGCTTGAGTCATCGTGTTCATAATTAAGTCAAATAACATATCAGACACTAATACAGTCCCGGAGTCCAGCACAGAAAAACAGGTCGCTGGCTGCTCACTGTTGTGTAGGATGTGTATGGACCTCTGTTGAGCTAAAAAAGTAATGAGTTCATAACTACATCAATTTGGTTTTCCAACACATCAATTGATAACTAAACACATTTCTGACACATGGTTAAAGTAACAAGCAGGAGCATTTGGATAAGCCACAACTGGGTAGCTATAGCCTTTTACCAGGAATATTTAGACATTCAGAAAAAAGTATAAAATACACAGTATACTTATGACAGCTTGGTCACATCAAAACCTTTACAACAACATGCATTGATGTTTTGTGTTTAAGTAACAAAGAAACAAAACCTATGAAGGATAATAATTTATTAATTTATAAACACTGACATTGTCCACTAAAAAATACACTTGCTGAAACTTTGGGTGCCAAACAAACAAAAGCCTATAAATACAAAGAGACAGGCGGTCACTGAGAATATTCAGAAGGTAGTGAACTACATAACAACTTTGCTGTTGAAGGAATCCTTCAAGGTAATGGACTGACTCTAACATACAGGCAAGTCTATTTCTTACGATTTGTAAATATACCATGTGTACAGTAAAACATGTCTACCACAAACATGGTTGTTATGAACTCAATATGATGAGAAGCCAAATTAAAGAAGTGAATAGTTAACTAGCAATGAAATCTACCACATAGGGATTGGATGGCGTTTTTTAAATTTTCATGCCAGTATCAAGGAAAAATTGGTTAGATCGATATTGCATGAAGCACGCTAGGACTTCTTTTTTAATATGGATGTAACTGATTTGCTTTCATACCGACATGAAAATTTAAAAAAACGCATTTCAATCCATATATTTATATTTTTATTATAGAAAAATTGTTTCATTTTATTTATTTGTTCTTAAATAATTTATTTATTTACTGCGTTTTGTATATGCGTTGTCCTTTAAACGACATTGGCAGAACAGACCTATTTAAAGAAAATTTGGGCCAACAATTAACCGTAGTCATTTGAGTGTTTGACGCAGGGGCATTCTCCATGTTATCCGAAGCGTAGCGACAAGACTCTCATTGAACAAGGTTAATCTTTGAAGTATGAAGTTAACCATGTGTTACTTCACAAGAGTTTATGTTTTCATACTCGAATAAAAAACATTTTTGCTGGCTATGTTTATATACATGTAGTGGGTTGCAACGCAAATATAAATGTATTTTTGTATTACCATTTTGCGGATGAGACTGGTATGTTTCACAGTCCACACAGAAGTTGCCCGTCTTGGTTGCGCCGATTATATCCATCTGTTTTTGTAGACTGTCTACCACCTGCTGCCCACTCTTGCCCTCTGGTATGTTGTAAGCATAAACACTGCAATATATAACATTAAAATTCAGATCACTACAGGTGATGAGGTAACTCAGTAGATTTGAGGTTACTGTATAAGGTCGAATGAGCTAGGTTTCAAATACTGGTTTGGCCCTGTTGCATTTTAAACACTCAGAACACATTTGTTTCCTTCATCTTTGTTATTTTTTCATTAAAGTTGTAGGAATGGTTTTCTTTAAAAAATCAAAGCTATGATCATGTTGGGAGTAGGTATTTGATGCATACCCTTTTTGCAATGGTGCAGGAATCCTTAAAAAAAAATTGAAATGGATCTAGACTCAGTGTATCAGACCTCAGACCACAATTTTTTTTTAATGTTATTACCAGGGCAAAACCGTTTTAAAAACATTCTGTAATTTAGCTTGAGACCTGATCTTAATAGGTTTTGTTCAGCTTTCCTAGCTATAGACACATTTGTGGTGGGATGAAAAACTTTTCATAACTTTTCAAGATAATTTATATGATGTCAAGATAACTCTATTGTACTGTATGACCCTGAAAATCCATGATCAGGGGCCCAGCAACATACCATATCCTTCCACCATAATAAATATAACACAAACTAATCAACCACGTTAGATAAAGGGGAAAGATCGTGTTCCATTTTGATATGACATGCAGTTTCATTTTCTTCACATGAAAAAAGGAAAACCCCATTTATAAATGAGCTAAAAATTGAGAAATGCACTACATTTGTGCACAACGAACCAGAAGCATTATCTGTGATCTTCATGCCTGTGTTATGGTAAATAAACCTGCCTAAATATCTCTGCATGATTGTAAAAAATAATTTTCCACATTTTTAATGTTATTGGATATCTATGTAGTCGAACAGTAGTGTTTTCCGGGATTTTCCTTTTCACTTCAGCTGTTTAATATTTTCAAATGGGTTTTTGAGCAACACACTTAGAGGACTAGACTAATGAAATTTGCTCCAAATTCCTAAATCGATATGAAATATGAATAAGAATTAATACTATTCATTCATAATACAAAAATTAAAATGCTGCATTTCGGGTACCCTCACCCACCTTAAAACTGTTACCCAAATGCAGGATTATTTCCGGAATCCCATATACATTGTATAAGGGGTTGTTCCCAACCTGATCTACTCTCTCTTAAATTCCTGTGATATATATATATAGAAGCGGAAAATTTAATGCATGGCCAGACCAGGGTTCGAAACTGGAACCTTTGGAACTCTAGATGGAGACTTTACCAATTGGGCTACCTGGGCGCCGAAGAACGACCGTACTAGCCTCTTCTGGCAATACTCCCATACAGTATCATCTAGTCATATGTTTCTGCGCGTTATGTATTTCCACGCAGCCATTTTATCAAGCTACATCTCGTAACTACATGATCTGCTGGACACTACACAGGGACGTTTGGCCATCGTCTGTAAACTGACACAAAAATTACCGGAAGTTCGGCCGGAAAACATAGGAATTAATCACAGATTAAAAAAACACTTTTTATCTTGCTCAAAATTTGCCCATACCTGGAAAAACGGTGATATATTTCATTCATGAACCAGTCTTTTTTGTAGTCTGACAAACGTATGAAAATGTTGTATGCAAATGAGGCCACATCTCCTCACAGACTTTTTCCACTAACAAAGAGCCAAGGAGACATTATTATTCGATAAACAGTGTTTTCAATAAAACATAAACCTTGCACTTTGTAATGCAATGAACTTCCAATTTTCACCAATTTTAAACAGAACAAAATGAGAAATAAGCCTGCAGAAAAAAAGAAAAAATACAGATTCTTTTATAAAAAACAAAAACAAAAAAAACCCATAAATTCGTTCAAGTTGACATATTGAAAAATCAATTAAAAATGTGAAATTTAAAAAAAAATGTTTTGATAATTATTTTGACGATCAAAGTGGTGTTTTTTTTATTCCAAACGAAGCTTTTAATCTTGCAGGTCATTGTAGAGAATTTCTTTTTAATGTATTCAAGTTATCTTTCTGTGAACACTAAATCAAAATACACACACAGAAACATATGACGGCTATTTCCGACGGGAGAACTTTGTTTAAAATTGTTTGTTCTGATTTTTTTTAAAATACAGTTTTATATTGCTAGTTTCTTGTTTCCATTAGTAGATTGTCTACATGTTTATGACAGTCATCCGTAATTTCAACAGTTTTCTGCCGATCTGAGTACGAAATCGCGGATGCTTCTTAAGTGCGCGGAAACCGGTAACACGAGGATAATTATGTATATATGTATTGACAGATGAGGCTAGTACTGTACCCATTTCAGTTCCACTAAATAAAAAAAAATTATTTAGGGAAGCTATTGCCCCTCTTTTAACCATCACATTGGCAAGTTTGGGAAGGGATAGTCAAACTGTAACCCTTAGGAGAATGCATATGAAATATTTGTAACCGGGGCTCATTTAGTTTAGGCAGAGTCCAATCTAGATCTATTAGGCCTACTGGTACTGATCATGACATTTGGAAAATGAAAGTAGAAATTTGTGTCGCCTCCACACATGTCTCTAGCGTAAGACTCTGATTGCATCCGTTTTATTCGATTTTATGATGTGGTACATGTTTTGTAAAATCAAATAATGTCGCATTATTTTCAAATTGATTCTTACCAGACGACACCCATCATGGACAATACAGCTGAACAACCGCCTTTTGCAGTTAATGCAATAGAACTGCAAAGAGAGCTGTAATATATCAGATTGTATTTACAAGCGGAACACTTCTGAATTATTTTTCCTTGTATTTGTTTAGGCTTGTATACAACTTAATTTTGATGTATTAATAATTGTTACATACTATTTTGCGAACAAGTAAATGAAGATAAGAGTGTTGAAATATGTTATCTGATTACATCGTTTCGTTCCGCATATAAAGTTGTTTTAAATAAACTGGATAACCGGAAGCAAATGCAGCGCATGTCATACGTTTAGACCACGCTTTTGGAACGAAAACATAAAGGACAAATTCGGCGAATTCTTCTGCAATCATGACGGTAATTATTGAAACATAAAGAGTTCGAACATGTACATCAAAACAACTCAAATAACTGGAGGTTTTATGTTGCTTAAAATGCGTCATTATGGAACGTTTTTCAGGAAGACCGGCACTTCACGTTGAGTGAAAAACGGGGGGAGGGGGATTGGGAGGGACGTTACATTTGCCCATAATATGACAGATAAATGTATTTTGTCTTAATGTCTCATTTGCTTAAACCAGGAAAACAAAAATACCTGTTGGAATGATATTTACATTAAAAGTAAAATGTTGCCGAAATTATTTAATTTTACCGGGTTGTCTACCTTTATGCATTCATTTGTATATATCACTATATAGGTTAAGTACACTCTGCCGATTGAGCTATATAGCTATAACGACCTATATAGCTATATGCACATATAAATTATAGCTGTATTGAGCTATATTTTCTCAGATTTCAATTTTCATCGAATTAAAGCAAAGTCACATAAAACTATGTTGACTACAAAAAACATACAGTTAGATGTTTATTTTCATATTTCATAAATGTAAAAATTTCCGATTTTTTACATCAATTTTCCGATTTTAAATTATTTTTTAAAAACCATCCTTATATTTAAGGTCTTTTGTTATCGACCTAATGATACAATCTTCTTTTAAAAGTGACTTTGTTTTGTTTTCCTTAAAAAAGAAAATCACTGGAAAATAGCTCAAAAGATCTATTTCAGATAGGTCAATAGAGCTATTATAGGTCTTTACAGTTATATAGCTCAATCGGCAGAGTGTACTGGACCTGTATATTAAGGATATATGTCCCGCTGCAGTCAAAACCCCCCAAAAAAGTATAATTCACATCTTCAAGTTTGGACTATAAGGAACTACTGCTCAGTTGTGTAGTGCGACAGACTTACTCTGATCGAAGGTCCACTACATTGTTCAGATCATATTCTAGGCGTTTCGTAGTACTAGGCGTCGGCCACGCATTATATAAAAAAAATCTCTCGTCGTCAGAAAGCTACGTTATCGCAGCTAGGCGTTTCGTAGGCCGAGTTTCCTCTGGCCTATAACATAGGCCTTTTTTCTATTGGATATGATTTTACAGACAGCGCCTGTCAAAAGTATCTCGCCGTGTAAACCTCTAACAATTTTGGAGTAGCCCTGACATCAGACTTAAACATTTTGACGGATAGTCAGTATTTAGATGTCTGGTGAGGGGACAGGGTGCACTGCTATATGAAAACGTGGAATTCTCCAACACTGTTTGGTATCGGGGAGTGACTTATCAACAAAAAGATGCGGTCCAGAAATCTTCTAAAACAAGAATAATATATTCTGTTTTCGGTCCGGATCAGTACTGTTTGCTAATTTAGTCCCTCCATGACCTACACGGTGGCGTTTGCTCAGATGGGAAATTTTGAACGGTTGAAAATCGAGGACTCGACTGACGGATTTTAGCAGCTGTTGGTGATAATAAGAGCTGATTTGGATCAATAAATAATCAATTTACCGATATATGTGAGGTATGTGTTGTGTCATAGTAGATTTTTGAACTCTCTGATACCAAACGGTGTCAGAGAATTCCATGCTCTGGTCTCACAACAGACATCTATCCGTCAAAATGTTTAAAGTCTGGTGTCGGGGCCAGAGGAAACTCGGGATAGGCATTTCGTTAAATGAGATTTAGGATGTTTCTGTGCTTTCTTTTTGTAGAGCAAGAAAATACTTAAAACTCTGAAAAAACAAAAACAGCAGCACTCGGGACACAAAAAGAAAACAATGTACAAAATTTACAAAAATAGTTCAAGTGCTGATTATCCTATAAAATACCAAAACAACTTTTGGGAAGTACCGTAACATCTTGCATGGTGCTGAATTGAAATGCCGAAGTACCGAAACATTATGACAGATCTGTACCCCGTTTATATCCTGGTTTGTCCATTTTTACTATCCAAACACTGTGGTAGTACTAGTACTGTTGTTCTATTTTAAATATTTCACCTTTATTGTTTTTTCTCAAAAGAGATAAAGTTCCAGAAATTGATTAATTATCACAATTAATGCAAAGAATATTTTTTAACTATTTCCAAATGTATGTACTAGCTAGCCATATACAATCTTGTGTAATGTGGCTCTTGAAGACCCACCTCACTCTCTATGAGATATTATATAGGCTAGCAGTTTTTGAGTTACTTCAACAGTGTGAGAGGTTGCCTTGAAGATACTTATATGTATTGTATGAAACTCATATTTTCAACAGCTGATTTTCCCTTTGCTGAGACACCAATTTTCAAAATTTGTATTTTGTCAAACATTTGTATCATAATATTCTGCTTTTAATTGTTCAACAAGATCAATTAAGGATATTTTATATTGACCCTGTTAAGCTTTTAAATATACGAAAAAAACATTGTATTTTAACATGTCTTCATTTCTGATGTGAAACGGATAACGTGGCCTTTATAGTGTTAATTTAATACACTACTTGAATAGTTACACTGCAGGCTGAATAAAAGAATAACCATTTTACTTAAATGGGATCAATCCATATTATTACATAAATTGTGAGCAAAACCATTTTTTTAGCCATTTAAGCGAGTTATTCATGCATTTTTAGGTCACCTGAGACAAAGTCTCAAGTGACCTATTGCGATAGCCTTTTGTCCGTCGTGCGTCCGTAAACAATTTACATTTTCGACTTCTTCTCCAAAACCACTGAACCAATTTCAATGAAATTTTGCAGGAACCTTCCATGGACAAAGGTCAACAAAAATAGTTGCCGGTTTAGTCCCAAGCCCCCAGGGGCCTGAGGGGTGGGGCCAAAAAGGGTCAAATTGACTAAAATTTCGAAAATCTCTTTCTCAAGACCCAGATATGGTAGAATCAAATACTCTTCATAGATGGAAGGGTCTTAAGGTGGTTTACCAAAATTGTGAATATCTTGACCCTGGGGTCTCACGTTTTCCCCTGGGGAAGGGGGTAAACTTTACTATAGTTTATATAGGGAAATCACATTTTGGACCAACATTTGTTTAATTTCCATTGGAAGTAATTCAATTTGGGTTAGCATTATCAGTATTAGGTAGCAGTTTGATAGTATGCACCTATGAGCCCTGACTGACCCCCAGGGGCTGATGGGTGGGGCCAAAAAGGGTTGAATTGACTGAAATTTCAAAAATCTTCTTCTCAAGACCCAGATATGGTAGAATCAAATACTCTTCATAGATGGAAGGGTCTTAAGGTGCTTTACCGAAATTGTGAATTTCTTGACCCTGGGGTCTCACGTTTCCCCCTGGGGAGGGGGTAAACTTTACTATAGTTTATATAGGGAAATCACATTTTGGACCAACATTTGTTTAATTTCCATTGGAAGTAATTCAATTTGGGTTAGCATTATCAGTATTAGGTAGCAGTTTGATAGTATGCACCTATGAGCCCTGACTGACCCCCAGGGGCTGATGGGTGGGGCCAAAAAGGGTTGAATTGACTGAAATTTCAAAAATCTTCTTCTCAAGACCCAGATATGGTAGAATCAAATACTCTTCATAGATGGAAGGGTCTTAAGGTGCTTTACCGAAATTGTGAATTTCTTGACCCTGGGGTCTCACGTTTCCCCCTGGGGAGGGGGTAAACTTTACTATAGTTTATATAGGGAAATCACATTTTGGACCAACATTTGTTTAATTTCCATTGGAAGTAATTCAATTTAGGTTAGCATTATCAATATTAGGTAGCAGTTTGATAGTATGCACATATCAGCCCTGACTGACCCCCGGGCTGATGGGTGGGGCCAAAAAGGGTCAAATTAACTAAAATTTCAAAAATCTTCTTCTCAAGACCAAGATATGGTAGAATCAAATACTCTCCATAGATGGAAGGGTCTGGGTCTTAAGGTTTATGACCCTAGGGTCTCACATTTACACCCTGGGGAAGGAAGGGGGGGGGGGCGGCAAAATTTATTGTGGTTTATAATGGCAAATGATACTTTGAATATTACATGTTATTAACTTGATTGGAATTATAACCTTGAGTTGAGAGTTTGATACTTTGAACATTTTGAGCCAGCCCTACCCCCGGGCTGATGGGTGGGGCCCAAAGGAGTCAGTGTGCTAAAATTTCTCATTTTCCTTGTTTAGAATCAGAGGTGCTAGTTTCAAATACTTTTTAGTCTTAAATCTGTATGCTAGATATTGAATAAGGTGGTTTTATTGTTTTTTGTCACTTTGAATAATATTTCTGTTCATGTTAAAAACAAAATCAACTCTCTGTATAAATATATCAGGTGACCGTTAAGGCCCATGGGCCTCTTGTTTGTTAACCATTTCATCTCGGCCTGGAGACCAATAAGAATTTCTCCAGATCAATGCACGGTAAAGTCTACTGAAGTTACTCAGGTGAAAGGGTTAAGTTTTCCACCCTGATATCAGATTGAAAGCACAGTGCTTCAAAAGTATGCAGTAATGATCTGTTTACTGTTACTATATATATATAGTACACATAGAGTACAAACCAAAAGTCCAGGCTCAGGTTTCATTGTTACTTTTTTTTGTTAATTGAAAATTAAACTAACTCTAACATTTAAATCATAATCCCTATAGGCTTTTGGCTAGTGGCTAGTATGAATGTCCATCACAGTATCCACTCACTTCATCTACAAAAAGATTAAAAGAAACACATTTGTTGAAACAAGATTGATGTTCATGAAAAGATTTAGTCCTTACTCACAGTGTTGGTCCCATATGCCATATCCTGCATCCAAGTGATCTTTGTCTGATGGCAATCACAGGCATGTTTTCTGTTTCAAACTGGATATCCAACTGGCTTCATCAGGATGGTCCTTTATGTTTACTTGTAGGTGTAATTGATATAGCTCATCTATATATATTCTTAGGTTACAATGAGAATCTCAAAATGTGTTTGTGAATCCCGAAGGAAAGCCTGATTTCGGGACTCAAATATCTGTGTCCAAAAAAACACTGTTAACATCTTTGATTTTTTATTTTAAACTTATGTTTGGCTATATTGAATTAATCTGATTTGACTTTCAGTCGACACTGCCTATGAACCCGAAGCCATTCTTGAATGGTCTAACGGGAAAACCTGTGATGGTGAAGCTGAAGTGGGGCATGGAATACAAGGGCTACTTGGTATCAGTCGATGGCTACATGAACCTACAGGTAAACATGACAAAATGCATATGTACAAATGACACTGACAGCATGGCCTGTAGCCCTTCTATAATTCTAATCTATAAAAAGAGTTAAAGTTGGGGGAGCAATTATTTTGTACAGTCCAATTGTATAGACACATTGCTCAGTGTTTATAGTCAGTTATCAGTTAATTATGTATCATCTTCAAAATGTTGCAATTGTTATACGATCTTGTTGATTATTTAGATTAAGAATGAAAATTTGATAACTTTGTAATGTAAAAAAAACAGTAGAATATTAAACTGTAAAATGTTGTATATTATTAATAATAACTATTATGATAAGCAGAAAGGGATACAATTATTTATAGTTAACTGTATTATGATGCTTGTGTAATTTCATTTAAATACCAGAGTACTTAATTTTCAATTTCTTTTTTCAGTTGGCAAATACAGAAGAATTCATTGATGGTGCCCTCACAGGAAATCTGGGTGAAGTCTTAATAAGGTAATATATTTTAGGTAGAATTTGATGGTTCAGTAAGTCTGTTAAAAATCACATGTAATATTTGTAATTTTGGTTCCTTTTCTAATTACTTACTGCTGGTTTGTCATAATTCAACACATTACAAAGCAGTGTATTTTCATCTTTCTATCTCCCATATGCCATGTTAAACATTATTTACAGAGATTTTGTTTCTAAACAAGTACAAGATGCATTTTTTATTGACTTATGTAATGTGTTTTTTGTAGATGCAATAATGTGCTGTACATCCGAGGAGTTGAGGAAGAGGATGAAGAGGGCGAGATGAAGGATTAAACATCAAAATATTGATTCTCTACTGATGTTGTGTTGAACAATAAACAGTGTGTACTGTCAAGTACCAGGCAAGCAAGCATATACATGCAATAATAGCTGCTGTGGACGGAACTGAATGTACATAGAATTCCAGCGGTGTAATATCGCTAAACCTGAATCATGAGTACCGCGTCTAGAAATGATAATACTACCACATTCAGGTTATCAGTGCAGTATCATGAAAGTATGCTGTCCTTTAAAAGATGATTAGACCATGTAAATGAATATTCATGTTTCCTGTATGTAAACATATAAAATAAATAACAAATGTTTTACTTGGAAATGATATTTTAAGTAATCTTGTTTTAATTCTTGTTTGAATTTTCCAAAGCTACAAAAGTTTGGATAGATAGAACAATTGAAACCAATACAGTTACAAGAAACATGTATATATACTATTACATGGTCTTATTTTAGCAGTGCTAGTAGGGCTGGACAAGGTGAATGTTCCACTTGTGTCCATTTGTTTGGAAATAACAAGAGTAGAGGGAGATAATCTAAGATTTCTATTTTGTCAGGTAAAGAGTTGCATACTCTGGGAAAGTATGTCTATTGACCATGTTAGCTTTCATTGATCATGTCATTCTTATCACATTTTTGTTTCTTCATTGTTGTTTTATATTGTCATATCATACAAATGAAAATAAATAATAACAAGTGGTCATTGGGCCTGTATTAGTCAAATGTTTCTTTTATTATATTTCCCGCTTACTTGAGTCCATATCATATTTATGAATTAGATAAAAAGCCAAACTGTTTCTTGCTAACTTAAGACAAGAGTGGTCGTATTGACTTCTCTGTAACAAAAAACCTTAAAGAACATTTGGTCAAGGTAGTGATGAATATTTGTACTGGGTTTCATTAAATTTATGTACTGGAATTTTGTTTAAAAACTCACCTGGGCAGATACCAACATTCTGGGCCTTTTGATTATTAAAGAGATGTCGTTAAATGGTTTGAACAAAATTGATAGCCCTGCATGTTGGCATGTTTCTGGCCAAACATCATCTATTGGTCTTTTGGTTATGCAGAAGAAGTTGTCAAAAAATTTTAACATAGTTGACCCCTGTTACCATGAAAACATTAATTCTCTGAACAACTAAATCTCTCCAGTCCAGATACTGTGGTTTCTGTGTAAAGTGGAACATTGTTTAGTCCAGACACCTTAATTCTCTGAACAACTAAACCTCTCCAGTCCAGATACAATGTACTTTGGTTTTTGTGTACAGTGAAACATTATTAGTCCAGATACAAAATGTACCCTATTTCTCTGAACAACTAAATCTCCCCAGTCCAGATACTTTGGTTTATGTGTACAGTTGATCATTGTTTAGTCCGGTGGATCCAGACACCTAATTTCTCTGAACCTCTCCAATCGAGATATTGTGGTTTCTGTGCAAAGTGAAACCTAGTTTAGTCCAGACACCTTATTTCTCTGAACAACTAAATCTCTCCAGTCTAGATACTGTGGTTTCTGTGGAAAGTGGAACATTGTTTCGTCCAGACACCTTAATTCTCTGAACAACTAAACCAGTCCATATACTGTGGTTTATGTGTACAGTCGAACATTGAAAGTATATTCTTAAATCTGGGAAACCCCATCAATATATGTGAATATGGCTATATTTGCGGTATAACTATTCCATTTATTTTTGCTACTGGAAATTTTGCATTCATTAATATTTTTTCCGTTTTCATATACATTTTGTATGCCGACTTAGGGAAATAAGAGCAGTTATCCGCCATAGCTCTTTGAATTCTTGAACAATGTATGGAAACAAACAAAAGAGGAAAAACAAATAAGTTCCTTAACGAAAAACATTCAAAATAGGTAACATGAAAACTACGTTTTTTTCCCCAAGACTACCCCCCTCCCATTGCCTGCTCCGGTTAAGCAAAAGTTGCTGACTGACGATACCATTTTACAAAATGACCCTGCGGTGACTTGCAATCAAGATGAGGTAAAATAGTTGGTAGCTATACAATATAACAATGATCGGCAATCAATTCCTTTACTCGATTATAATGTTTATAATGTTGGTCAATTTTTGAAAATTTGTCAAAAAACTTAAATTTCAATTCCAACCCAATGCCCATTTATATACGCCCGTCAAATTTGACGGGAGTATTATGTAATGGGTTTGTCTGTCAGTCCGGCGTAAACTTTTGTTTGTCCAGTAATTCAATCTCCTCCTACATTTTTCGACCGATCCCTTTGAAACTTGGTATACATTATAATCATGATATGAAGTTGTCTCCCTTAAAAGAATTTTAAATCAACATTTTTTTGCAAAAGTTATTGCCCTTTGTTCATTTCAGTTTTTAATTTTTTGTCCGGAGATCCCCTACATTTTTCAACGGATCTCTTTGAAACTTGCCCTGTGAGTGAATCATCATCTTCTTACTGCTAAATTGTTCCAGTAGTGAGTGGAGTGCAGACCATCTCTGACATTTTAATTACTAATCAACCATTAAATATGCCTATCCACCAAAATATGGAAAGAAAAATGAACTATGTATTCAAATTTCATACGATTGCACAATACACTGTTAAGTAGTTCGTGTAACGAGCGGTAACTAGGCCTACACTTTTTCTGTACAGACCGATGTAACTTTAGTCGACTATATAATTTCAATGTTCAGGCCGCAAAGATATGAAAATACATGTATGTTCCAGTAGGTATGTTTGGACCTATCCTGAAATGTAGAGAGTACATTTAAATACAAGTAAAAGGTAAGTTTTAGTTCATGAGTGCATGACCCTACACAAGGATATTGTTATAAACTTAACGTGTTACCAGAAGTTTGACCGGCAAAATGAGAACTTATTATAAATAATTGATTAAGAAACACTTTTTATCAAAATGATTCCATATGAGACTAAACTCACACGTCCGTCATCTGTCCATCTACTTTTCCTTTAAAACGCTTCTAGATCTAGTCCTGAACCGCTCAGTGGGTTTTTCACTAAATTTTGCCTAGAGCATCCTTGGGCAAAGCAAAGACGTTTATACTGCATATATGCATGTCTCTAGGCACTGGGACTCAATTCCATGTAAACGAATTGGGGGGCAGAGCGGTGATGAATAGGGGAACTTGAAGTTGGGGTATTATCTTTAAAATCCTTCTTCTATACAGTACTGTTGATTTTAACCAAATTTGGTCCAGTGTATCCTTGGGCAAGGCAGACTAAATTTAGGGATGGTGTGCCAGGGGCCCAATAGGGGAAATTGAGGTAAATGTTCAAAATCCATCCCAATTCAAGGCAGAAAGTGCAGAGATACAGAGCCAATATTTGGAAGAAGTTGCAGTATTATATGTAATAGAATATTTTCCCATGGTTGCTTTATTATCCAGGTAAACAATATAGGCCCTTTGTGCCTCTTGTTCCAAAATGGGCTCCTGGCAGAGCAATTGGGAAATTTCTTAGGTTAGGGCACAAAGTGATGAATGCGCAAGTTTACCTGGTGAATACGGGTAGGGATTTAGTGAGCAGACAGCCAATGTTCTGCTGAGGAGCTATTGAGATGTATATTGTTACAGGTAGAGTATTATAATAACTTCCTAAATAAGGGATACAAGAGGTACATGTAGAATTTCATATTTTAAGCCCATCATCATCAGAAGGTGGGCTATTCAAATCATCCTTTGTCTGTGGTCAATTGTCCTTCCATCCATCCGTTAACATTCTTGTTACCGCTATTTATGAGAACATACTACATGGATCTTTTTCAAACATCACATGAAGGTTCCTGATGGTCCTAGTTATGCGTATTGATTTTTGACAGACCGCCATCTTGAGTTTTGAGAGTTGAAAGTTTATCAGTGTGCTATTTCTCAGAAAGTACCAGAGTGATATCATTCTCAAATTTCACATGAAGTAACCCCTTTGGTCCCTAGTTATGCATGTCAAATATTGAAATTGATGCATGGGTGAACCAAGATGGCTGACAGACAGCCATCTTGAATTTTGACGGCTCAAGTTTGTAAGCATCATTTCTGAACTTTATTACATATGACGTTTCTTGCCATATTTCCATACATTAAGATACAATAATGTAATGCATTAGAAGGATGTTAAGTCAGATTATGGTGTGGAGCAGGCCTATACATTGTTCTGCTCCGCGGTACTCTTGTTTACATTGTGAAAAACAAGTGAAATACTGTATTACAGAAATTGGCTGACCTGAGAACTGGCTGTATCATTAGTAAAAGATTCAACAAGTATAATTAGTGTATGTGATAAATTATTGTGACAATTTGTCCACAAGTATCACATATAGTGGAGATAACACAGTATTCGTATAGAGGTGTATAAATGATCTCATCTGAGTCCTTGTCCTCATCTTTCAGGTACGTTAAAGGAGCCACTCAATGGAAGAAATAAGAGAGAAGGCATACAAGTGTGATGTCTGTAGTAAGGAATTTTCTCAATCATCTCACTTACAGACACACAGACGAGTACATACAGGAGAGAAACCTTACCAGTGTGATGTCTGTAGTAAGAAATTTTCTCAATCAACTCACTTAAAGACACACAGACGAGTACATACAGGAGAGAAGCCATACAAGTGTGATGTCTGTAGTAAGGAATTTTCCCGATCATCTGGCTTACAGACACACAGACGAGTACATACAGGAGAGAAACCTTACCAGTGTGTGGTCTGTAGTATGGAATTTTCTCAGTCATCTCACTTACAGAAACACAGACGAGTACATACTGGATCAGAAGACCTTTACAAGTGTGAGATATGTACAAAGGGGTTTCCCCGACAAGATCATCTGCATAGACATCACATAATACATACAGGAGAGAAACCGTACAAGTGTGATGTCTGTAGTAAGAAATTTACTCGGTCATTTGGCCTACAGACACACAGACGAGTACATACAGGAGAGAAACCTTACCAGTGTGATGTCTGTAGTAAGGAATTTTCTCGAGCATCTTACTTACAGACACACAGACGAGTACACACAGGAGAGAAACCTTACCAGTGTGATGTCTGTAGTAAGAAATTTTCGCGATCATTTAATTTACAAAATCACAGAAAAGTACATACTGGAGAAGACCTTTACAAGTGTGAGATGTGTACAAAGGGGTTCCCCCGACAAGATCATCTGCATAGACATCACTTGATACATACAGGAGAGAAACCTTAGTAGTGTGATGTGTGCGGTGAAGGTTTTAGACGACAAGATCAACTGTCTTCATCTCGGGAAACCTACAGGAGAGAATTAAATCTTACAAGTGTGATGTCTGTAGTAAGAATTTTTCTCGATCATTTGGCCTGTCTGTGGTAAGACATTTACTCTATCATCTAACTTACTGACACACAGTCAAGTACATTCAGGTGAACACCTTTACAAGTGTGAGATATATACTAATTAAGGGGTTTCCCTGACAAGATCATCTGTACATGTGCAGACATTGCAGGATACATACAGGAGAGAAACCTTACCAGTGTGATGTCTGTGGAGGTCTATAGTAAAGTATTTGGTCACTCATCTAGCCTACAGACACACAGAAAATTATATAAAGATGAAAAACTTTACAAGTGTGATGTGTGAGATAATTAAATAGTTTAGTCAACTAGATATTCATGAGAGATGCCCTATAAGTGTTATATATCTGTAGTACGGAATTTCGTTATTCATCTGACTTACGGAGGCACTTAGTTTAAACTTTCTTTTATTCAAGTATTTGCAATATATATGTATATATATAGCATTTTGTAACAAAACACAAAATAGGAAATAGAAACAGTGTCTTATGTAAATCTATCACTTAAGGACACATACAGGAGAGAAACTGTAGAAGAGCGACGTCTGAAGTATGGAATTATTAAATCTTCTCATCCAACTGTATACTTTAAAAGTAAACAGACCTTAAAGAATCCATACGTATAATTAATTTCTCTAATATTGATTAGTAGCTTCTTTGGATGTAGCCCGACAAAGTATGAAAATAACCTTAGTTTAAACAACATTTTATTTACAAATATGCAGTACATGATATAAAATTTTACAGAATCTAATGTTTCAAGGTCACAGATGGCAAAACACTTCAAACAACTTGTTTTGAATAATTTAAAGGCATATAATTATGTTCTTTGGCTTGTAACTTCCTGTGATTAAGCCCAAGGACATTTGTGGGTGAAAATAACCTGAGTGCAGTCCTTGCCATATCTAACCCCTGTGACCTTGAAAATAGTCATTTTCAAACACAGATGTTTTTGGGGCTCCATCAATGGAAGCCACCAGCTAAGTGTTATGATTCTATGCCTTTCAACTCTCCAGAAGAAGTGTTTTGAAGTGTTTGACATATTTGACTAATGTGACCTTGAAAGTAAGTCAAGGTCATTTTCATTCTCAAACTTTGTCGGCTTCATCCCAAGAAGCTTCCAGCCAAATATTAAGATTTTAACCTTTCCATTCTTAAGAAGTGTTTGACATATTTGACCCTTGTGACCTTGAAAGTAGGTCGAGATCATTTTCAATAACATATTTTGTCAGGCTCCATCCCAGGAAGCCATCAGCTAAATATGAAGATTCTATACCTTTTAGTTCTTCAGAAGAAGTCGATTGAAGTTTTTGACATATTTGACCCCTGTGACCTTTAAAGTAGGTCATGGTCATTTTTGTTCTCAAACTTTGTTGGGCTCCTACCAACAAAGCTTTCAGCCAAATATCATGACTCTAGGCCTATCCGTTCTTCAGAAGAAATTGATTAAAGGAAAAGTTGACGGGCTAGGACGGACGGACAGACGACGGGCGGACGACGGACGCCACACCACAACATAAGCTCACTTGCCCTTCGGGCAGGTGAGCTAATAACCAAAAGTAACAGGTATGGATTTTAATCCAATAGCTTTATTTAAATCTTAATTTGATGTAGAGTATCCTTAGCCTGATATGATTCAATGTTGTATAAACCATGCCCCTACCCCTATGGAGACAGGGATTGGACCCAATAATTAAAGGATTTGCTGAGACCCAATAAGGTAAAGGTGTTGCTGAGAGACGGAGTCAATATTTAGAATTATTTGTAGTACAGTATAATCTTTAATGAAAATATTTTGCTATGACTGCTTAAATATCCAGGTGAGCGATACAGGCCCTCTAGGCTTCTCAGCATTCTTAGCATGTAAAAATAGGGCTGCTTTAATCACGGGTAAATTTGTTTCGGTCAACAAAATATAACAAGAGGCTTAATGGGCCTGCATTGCTCACCTGGTATAAATCTCACACTTGTAACCTTAAAAGTGATCTAAAATAAAGCTACAGGCAAAATATCAGTATTTATGATTAAAATTCATTCAAAAGACCCTTTTATTTTTTTTTAAAACATTTCAACCCTGTGATTGAAAGTCGAACAATGTCATTATGTTGAACAAATTTTATAGCCATTCATCTCAGGATGCAACTTGCAAAGTATCAACATCCTGGGACCCATGGTTATTCAGAAGAGGTTGTTTAAAGATTTTAAACAAATTTGACCCCTGTGACCTTGAATATAGGTCAAAGTCATTCACTTTAACAAACATAGTAGTCCTTGATCCCAGCATGCTACTGACTAAATATCAACATCCTGAGGCAATTGGTTATTCAGAACAGAACAAGTTGTTTAAATATTTTGAACATATTTGCTTCTTGTGACCTTCAATATGATTCAAGGTCATACATCTAAACAAACTTGGTAGCCCTTGATCCTAGTATGCTACTGACTAAATATCATCACCCTGGGCCTTTTGGTTATTCAGAAGAAGTTGTTTAAAGTTTTTAACATATTTGACCCCTGTGACCTTGAATATGGGTGAAGGTCATTCATGTGAACAAACTTTGTAGCCCTTCATCTCAGCATGCTACTGGCCAAATATCATCACCCTGGGCATTTTGTTATTCAGAAGAAGTTATTTAAAGTTTTTAACATATTTGATCCCTGTGACCTTGAAAATGAAAATTTTATGAGTTAGTAGGATGCGACTTCTTATTGTCAGGACCATCTTTATTGACAGAAAAAAATGCCTGTGGCTTGAATCCTGCTATAAATGTTGAAATTGAGGCTGTGGTGTTTTGCTTGAAGCTTCATTCAAAAATTCATTGTAAATGATCTACTGGATGTTTGGAAGTTGAAAGTGTCTAAATTAAATGAGTCACATGTAAGGTGACCATTAACATTTATTTCATGCAAAATATCATCTAGATGTAACAAACGATTAGAATAACTGGTTTGGTTTGAAGATTTGAACACATTTGACCCATGTGACCTCGATAATAGATTAAGATTAGTTGGTATCCATCCCCTCGCCCCTGATATAAAGATGGATGGCAACAGGTCACCTGAGCATAAAAACGTTTGGTACAGTAAAAGTGTTTAGAAACTATCATTTATTCTTTAACCTATGTCGTCTAGATTACTGGTCCCTGCTTCGGGAAAGTAACTACATTTTGTACAAAGTATATGTAGCAACATGAAAATTCAAATGGAAAGCAAAGTAAAATTATTAAAAAAAGACATGACTATTAAGATGGTTTCAAACCATTTGTACAGTTTTATTACATATGTTGTAAACCAAGTAAAAGATCAGTCATACACATGTTCACTCTCAGGCACACATTGTCATTGTCCTCAACCATCTAATATGATTGATCCAATGTCTCTCCCAGTCACTCAACTCTTTTGTCAGGATCTTGTAACAGTCACTGGAACCAATCTGAAACAGAATTCAACACAGATTATGTCATTTAAACCTGATTTTGTCATCTCAAATCCTTAATCACAACAACAGACTATTTTATTCATAGAAACTATAACAAGAGATGGTGTCAAAGCCACCAAATGCTTGCCTTTTTAAAATTTTATCGTATTTTTAAACAAGAGGCCAAATGGGCCTGCATCGCTGACCTGGTATTAATCTCACACTTGTAATCTTAAAAGTGGACTAAAACACAGTTACAGGCAAAATATCAGTGTTTGATTCATAAGAACCTATTAAAAGATTTAAACATATGACGCCTGTGACCTTGAATGTCGAACAAGGACATTGTAATATTAGGTTGAACAAAGTTTATAGTCTTCCAACCCAGCATGCTTCTGGAAAAATATCATTACCCTGGACCTTTTGGTTATACAGAACAAATCATTTCAAGATTTAAACATATATTAACCACTGTGACCTTGAATATGGGCGAAGGTCATTCACTTGGTAAGTCCTTCATCCCAGTATGTTAATGGCCAAATATCATCACCCTTGGCCTTTTGCTTATTAAGAAGAAGTCATTCAATGGTTTTAAACATATTTGACCCCTGTGACCTTAAAATATATGTCAAGGTCATTCATTTGAACAAACTTGGTAGCCCTTCATCCCAGCATGTTACTGGCCAACTATCATCACCCTAGGCCTCTTGGTTATTCAGAAGAATTTGTTTAAGTGTTTTTAACATATTTCACCCCTGTGACCTTGGATATAAGGCAAGGTCATTTATTTGAACAAACTTGGTAGCCCTTCATCCCAGCATGTTACTGACCAAATATCATCACCCTAGGCCTCTCTGTTATTCAGAAGAAGTTGTTTAAAGATTTTAACATATTTGACCCCTGTGACCTTGAAAATTGATGAAGGTCATTTATTAGAACAAACTTGGTAGCCCTTCATCCAAGCATGCTTCTGGCCAAATATCATCACCCTAGGCCTTTTGGTTACTGAGAAGAAGTTGTTTAAAGTAAAAAGTTGACGCCGGACGGACGCCGTACCATGCCATAAGCTCACCTGGCCCGAAGGCCAGGTGAGCTAAACAAGAGGCCCAAGGGCCTTAGCGGTCACCTGAGTTATATCATAGGTACTGGTAGCTTTATTTTATTGTTTAGATGTGATGTGGAAATCAGCATGTAAACTAAGTGAAATACAATACTTGTCATGTCATCAAAGGATAAGAATTTGAAAATATTGGTAAATGTTCCCTTTGGGGCCCCGCCCTAGCCCCTGGGGATGGGGCAGGAATCCAAATTTTCCAAAGTAATACTCTCATTCACCAAAGATGATTCTGACTAAGTTTGAGTAATTTTCTGCTGAAAATGGATAAAATATATACCCAAAAGTGTTATTTCCCTATATAAACTATAGTAAACTTTACCCCCTCCCCAAGGGAGAACGGATAGCTCGGGGGTCCTGAAATTTACAATTTAAATAAAGCCCCTGATGATCTTTCCATCCATGCAGAGAAAATGACTGTAATACCTCTGAGTCTGGAGAAGAAGATTTTTGAAATATTGGTTAATTTTCCCTTTTGGGCCCCGCCCTGGCCCCTAGGGTTGGGGTAGGAATCCCAATTTTACAATTTGGTATCCTCATTTACCAAGGATGATTCTGACCAAGTTTGAAAAAATTCCATCCACTGGTTCTTGAGAAGAAGTTGATTATGTAAAAGTTTACGCACGACGCACGACGGACGGTGACAGACGGAAAGTGATTGGAATAGGTCACTTGAGCAAAGCTCAGGTGACCTAAAAAATGTTTGTAGAAATGTAAAGTTCAAAACAAGTCAAAAAGACTAAAAAAAAACACTTCTTATATTTTACCCCACAGGAACCTCTATGCAAAATATCAGTATCCTAGTACACATACTTAATGAATGACAAGCTTCTAAATAACTTGCAGTTAAAACTTTAACGTTGATGTGCTTCAACAAAGGTTAAGTACAATACAGGTGGAAAATTTAAAAAAAAAAAAAAAAATATATATAAATTTTAACTTCACTTCATCAATAACATACTGCACAGGAACCTCCATGCCAAATATCAGCATTCTAGTACACATATTTAATGACCAACAAGCTTCTAAATAACTTGCAGTTAAAACTTTAACATTGATGTGATGTGCTTCAAAAAAGTTAAGTACAAAACAGGTGAAAAATTTGACACTATTTTTCAATTTTTAGCCCACCATCATCTGATGGTGGGCTATTCAAATCACCCTGCGTCCGTGGTCCGTCCGTAAACAATTCTTGTTATCGCTATTTCTCAAGAAGTAATAGAGGGATCTTTCTCAAATTTTATATGTAAGTTCCCCTTTGTCCTCAGCTGTGCAGGGCAACTTTTGAGACTGATCGGATAAACAACATGGCCGACAGGCAGCCATCTTGGATTTTGATATTGAAAGTTTGTTATCGCTATTTCTCA